AGGAGCAACTTTTTAAATGGCATTATGTAAAACAAAATTTACTTTTTTGCAGTTTTAAAAGGTTTTTGCATCTAGGTACTTCATACACATCAAGTGACATTATATTCCTGTATAATTTATTTAATAAAAGTAGCTAACTCTTTAAAACACATTGTTTCCTTTAGGTCACTCATCAAAAGTAAGAAACAATTATTTTGAAGGGCATAATGCAATTCGAAAATTCCACTAATCACTCCGAAAATCCAACTAATCACTCCAAAATTTGTTTTGTATAATTTATTTTTTTATCTGCCTTTGTGATAAATAACCAAGCGGGATTGCTTAAGTTTTTTATAACATCAAATCTTGGTCACTTGAAAAGCATGCGTTTGCTGTGGATAAGATTAATTGTATTTAACTTTTTATTTTTTTGTTATTTTTTTTAGGTTTATTAAACTACATATGTTGTTATGTTTATACTTTTTCCTGTAATATCACAGATAACAACCGTGAAGGGCATCATCGCCTTCACCTCGTGCGGAATCATGCGTGACGGTAAAAACGATGCCATGTGCACATGATATTTGGGCGTTTCTCTGTAAACTGGGCAACTTGAAGTAAGAAATTGTCTAGGAAAGTTTTTTTGTTATATTTTTGTTGTATTTAATAAATGTTATTCGAGGAATAAATATCGGTCTATTTATTAGTATACGGCAGATGAACCAAAAATAGTCCTATTACTTTGGAAAACATTGACCATTTTCTGAAAAATCTATACAGGGGACTGTTTATAAAATCCGAAGTTTAGATGACTTTTTTAGAATTACAAAATAATAATTATAAAAAATAAATAAGTCACAGTAACAAGCAAACAATATTGGTTGAATAATTAAACAATTAGGTTTATTCCAATAGTTACTGTCTTTAATTAATTTAGTCTGAAGTGACCATTTTGCTTTGGTGACACGTCAGGGGACTGGTTTTTAAGGATTATAAAAACGATTTTGATACATTAAAGTTTATTTTATTGGATTTTGAACGTCGAGCATAGGTAGATTAGGTTATTATCTTTTGAAGTTATCTACGAAATATTTATGTTCTGTTATTTTTCTAAACAATATTAGCTTGAGACAATGAGTTGCCCAGTTTACAGAGAAACGCCAATTTATTTTATGATTATACACGCTCGTGATTGGTATATGAGGGCACGAAATGATTGCAAACGTTTCACTTTTGCTGAATAGATATCCCTAAATTGTAGATGTAATCTGGGTCTACACTACATATCTTGCGAAAATTGTAGATTTTACTTCATATTATAATTGTAGATTTTACTTCATATTATAATATATATATTATATAAAATTTTCAAATAATTGACTTACACCATAATTTGTGAAAAGACTGGATTTGTAGGTAAAGACTAAATTTGTAGACTATAATTGTATAAAAAATATACATAATTTTATTTGGAATACCAAATTGTAATTGATCCTAAGATCAACGAGTTAACACGTTGATCTTAAGATCACGTTTATAAATTAATTTATCATTAATTTATTTATGAATTTGTATGTCTCTGGTACCTACATAATTTTAATTAAAATAAGATATCTTTCTATAAATGTAGACAATTGTCACAAAAACTAAAATAAATGACTTAAAGAAAAAGATATTTTGGATTATTACTTATTGACCAAAATTTCGCAATAAATCAATTGTTGTTGATAATTACTAATCGAAACGTAAGAAAAACAATCAAATTAAGGCAATGCAAGTCCAAAATTCCCCTGTTAATCATGCCCAGAAATTTTTTTTCAACTATCACATGTGCTGGCTATATGAACCTTAATTGGTGACGCAAATAATGCATATATATATATATATATATATGCGTGCATATATGCGTGCATACGTGCGGATTACAATCACGTTGTTACTGCAATATGCGTCAATTATGAACCTCATAATGTGTATTCTGTTGGGAAATAAATCATTATTATTATTGTTATTATTAATATTATTATTATTTTTATTATTATAATTATTATTATTATTATTATTATTTTTATTTATTTATTTATTTATTTTATTTATTGATACTACTTACAAACACAATACAAATTGTAATTAAAAGTAAGAGATAAATATATGTATATAATTAAAATCTAAATACAAAAACAGTAACAAGACAAAAACAGATGTAAAAGTAGCCTAAACTAAGAATAAAAGACTAGAATGAGAGAAAGTGTAATCTAATTTCTTTGGTATTATTTCCCATAAATAGGTCAATGTTGGATACTTCCAATAATAAGTTGCATTGCTCCAGCATATTTCTAAATGGGGAGCAGTCTGTTAGATCAAAATAAAACATATTACTTCCCTGCATGCGCAAATGTATCTTTGTAACCAATAGTTTAACAAAATTCATCAATTGAAGATTTTTATACTTTAAGTTGTTGATAATAAAATATACAAGAAGTACAGCCTGCAATGACCGCCTTCTTTCGAGTGTGACAAAATTGAACTCCTCAAGCATGCTTCTGTAGGAGATCATATATGGATAGAGGTTATGCACCCTGACATATAGAAACCGAAGAAATCTTTTTTGAACCCTTTCTATAAGATCTATGTTGACTTCTGCCCGAGGTGACCATACAACAGAAGCATACTCAAGATGAGGCCTCACAAGAGCATTAAACAATTTGATTATACATTAAATGTATAATAGTGTTCTATCTGCATTTTCTTTTTTTTATTCAGGTTAGTCTTGTTTTAAGTATTAAAGATGCATATTGTTCTATCTTTATATAATTGGGGTAGAAATTGTACAGTTTAAGCCTTAAACTTTACAATTTCTACCCCAATTATATATAGATAGATCAATATCATCTTTAAGACTTAAAACAAGACTAACCTGAATAAAAAAAAGAAAATTTAGATAGAACACTATAATTCTCAGGTGACGATTTAGTGTCTCTGAAATATTTTGTATTTCTAATTACAAAGCCTAAGATCTTGTAGGCTTTGTTTACAATATGTTCATAGTGAGTATTAAACTTAAAGTTGCTTTGGAAAAAGACACCCAGGTCCTTGCATTGAGACTTCCGAACAAGGTGCTCGCTATTAACACTGTATGATGCTCTTATGTAGTTCACCCTTCTTGTAAATGTTATAATTGCACACTTGTCTATATTTAAATACATTTTGTTTTTCTTAAACCAATCAACTACTGTATCCAAGTCAGATTGTAGTTCTTTACAATCTTCCAAACAGGAAATAGGCTTAAACATCTTGAAATCATCCGCAAACATAAGGCAGGATGAGTGAGTGATACTCTTTGGTAGGTCATTAATGAAGATTGTAAAAAGGAGTGGTCCCAAGTTACTGCCTTGTGGCACCCCAGATGTTACAGCAAATTCGTAGGATAGAGATTGCCCTACTTTAACCCGCTGATGCCTATCAACAAGGTATGAGTACATGAACTGCAGTGCCTGCTTTGAGAGGCCAAGTGCACCTAGTTTTTCCAATAGTATTTTGTGATTTACTTTATCAAATGCTTTTGCACAGTCAGTCATAATTGTATCAAGTTGAACTTTATTTTTTATGGCTTCTGCTGCTGATTGAGAAAACAGGAGGAGATTGGTAGCCGTAGATCGATCTGGTAAGAAACCATGTTGATGTTGTGAAATCTCAGACTTAAAGTGGGAAAATATACTGTCGTAAATAATAGTTTCAAAAACTTTTGCCAAAGAATTTAGAATGCTTATTGGCCTGTAGTTTTTAATTTGAGTTCTATCACCAGTCTTGAAAATTGGTGTAATGATTTAGCTTTTAAGAACATCAGGAAAAACTTTACTTTTGAGTGATTTATTAAATAGATAACTTAGGGGCTGCACAAGGAAGTCAGTACAACCTTTATATATGTATGAGGGAATGTTATCATCGCCGGTACATTTTTTTGACTTTAGTTTCTGAATACTTTTCCTGACAGTACATTCAGAAATTTCCGAAAAACAAAAGTTACCTGATGAGCTTATAGATTGTTTCAAGTCTGAGTCCTCATAAACAGAACTGAAATACTGTGCAAAAGCATCCGCTATACCTTTTGAATCAGTGTTTGAGATGTCATTAAAATACATAATCTGGGGAATACCACTCGGTCTACTTTTGGAACCAATGAAAGACCAAAAGCTATTAGGATCTTCATTAGCGTTATCCTCCACACTCCGCTGATAGATCTGATATTCAAGCCTAGTTTGGCCTTTAATTTCTTTACGAAGAGCACTATAAGCACGCTTTAGGTCTAGATTTGCTCTATTTCTTTGAACTTGCCCATGCAGTTTATTTTTTTGTCTGATCTTCCTCACAAGATCAATAGAAAAATATCTAGGGAACTTACAGTTATTTCTAACGTAACCAACCTGTTTCTTTGGGATTGCTTAATCAATACACGAATAAATCTTATTATAAAAAACTTGAAATGCTTCATTGATATTCTCACTTTGTTTTAAATCATCCCACTTTAGAGACCCTATTAGATTATATAAAAGACCAAAATTACCTTTTGAGTAGTCATAAATGTAGGATTTTTTTTATACCTTTATGAGTTGAAGAATTATTTTCAAACTGCATAGAGAAGTTCAAAGATGGATGATAATCATCCTCTTTTACCAAGGGACTATCACACCTACAGAGATCATAAATATTTACATTACTTATAACTAGATCAAGCTTTCTACCCATAAAATTTAACACAGTATTATTTTCTTTAAAATTACACATGTTTAGGAACTGATTTAAGACCTTACTTTTCTCACAGCCATTCGTTATGAAACAAGGGATATTAAAATCACCTAATAGTAATGCAGAAGGAAGACGATCAAAATTCATTCGTTAATTCTGTCAAACAGTGTTGGCAGTGTTTACAGATTTTAATTTTAATTAAACCATACTTTTACAATGTTAACATACTTAGCCATTAAAAATGTAAAATTACCATTTAAATTTTAAATTTAAAGGTCCAAGGATGGAGGGGCACCGATAGTTCCGGATACGAGGCGGCATCTAAAGGTGACCGGAAACGCCATCCAACTTGCCCTAGACAATGTGCAGCGAGAAGATGCAGGCATGTACTCGGTCACTGCTCAGACCTCCGTCGGGTCTGTTTCCAGAGATCTTGAGCTTAGAATAGGGGCGCAGGCGATGGCAGACCTTGGTTACGATGAGCCACCGGCTTTTCTGAGACGACTAAACGACTTGTCTGTTAAAGTGGGCACCAGGACGAGATTTCTTGTAGAGATTAGAAGTAGTTCCGATGTAACGGTAAGCTGCTTTCTTATAAACACAGCCTTAAGGTACGGTTGTAATGGATGAGTAAGAATATTAATAGGAATGTAATGCTTGTGGTTAAACTAGAATGACCACTTTATACCCGAATATCTTGTATTAATTTTACATATTTATAATTTAATATTTTAAAAATAACGGTGCTTCCATCTAGTAAGAGACCTCTACTCTACAGCCTTTATTTCCTTAGACAAAATCACACATAAGTTCGGGAGACTAGACATAAAAATTAATAAAATGGTTCATACTAATGGGAATGTCCAATTTCCCCTTTTCCTAAAAAAAACTTATTTATTTAATCTATTTTTGATCACATATTATTGGTTATGACTTCTTTATATAAAGTGGTCAGTGGCGGATTTAACAGAAAAGGTCCAGGTGGCAACGCTTCAAGGGAGCCCAGTTTTAGGTATAAATAAAAAACTGAGCAAAAATGGCAAGGTTTTGGCAATTTTTTATTAAAACAGGAATTTTAATTTATGTGACTTTGACTTCATCTTGCTTTTTGTTCGGCTATCACAGAATCTAAATTAAGTGAGTTCCCTTCTGATCTTTCAATGTAAAGAATACAATAATAGTTAAGCGTGTCTTCTACTAAAGAAGCGACAGGGGCGAAACAAAATCAATCGTTTTTATAGTTTTCTTTGGAACCACGGGTAAACAGCTAGTTTTGATATAATAAATGCGTATTGGCAATAACACCGCTCGATGCGAATTAATTTTTTATATGTCTCTGAAATGGAATGACAGATATGTATCTGCTGTTTTTCCGCGGTATGGGGATAAGGCAGGGCTTAATGAAATAATTTCTCTGCCGTTGGCTCTGGTAGAAAAACAGCAGGGATTTCTCTGCGTTACTCCGCCAAAAATGTAATGGTAGAGAACAGCAGAGATTTGCCTGCTACTATACCCAGTGGCAGAAAAAAGCCAGAAATGTTCCCTCCATTACTCTGCCATTCTTTAAACGTTTATCTGCTAATGTAGCAGAGAAATTACAGAATAATGGACAAAACATTTAAGGCCTTTATCTGCACTTAATGCCGTTTATTATTTTGCCGAATTGTGCTAGTTAGGATAAGGGTCAATTAACTGTTTAATTTAGTAGTTTATTTTTATAATATAAAATTGTTTTTTCCATTTTCACATGGAAAAAAACAATTTATCACAAACCCTTAAAAAATTTACATCAATGTTAGTTCTAAACAAAGTTTACGTAATAAAACCTACATCCATTTATTTGATTAAACTGCTTTAATGTATTTAAATATTTTTGGGGGTCGCTGATTACGAATTTATATCCATTTTTTCAAACCCAAATAGCGGACATTTTAATAATAATATATATTATATGTATGTAAATATGTATATAAAAATGTTCTGATTTCTCGAATACGGCTCTCTAAAAATGAATTAGTCAAAAATGACTAATTTAATAGTGGCTGCTTTTTCACTTGTACCATGGTTAACCATGGAATACATGGTATCCCAAAATTTAACAGCCAATTCCTATGTAAAATTGTCCCCTGAATCCGAAAATGTAGTCAAAAGTTAAAAAAGTAGAACAGTTTTTGAGATTTAATCTAATTTTTATTTAATATGGAATTGACTATATCTCAAAAACTGCTTCACTTTCAAAATTTTTGACGGTATTTTTGGATTCAGGTGAAAATTTTACATAAGAATTGGTTTTTAAATTTTGGGATACCATGATATTCCATGGTTAACCATGGTACCAGTGAAAAAGCAGCCACTGATAACTATTAAATTAGTAATTTTTGACTAATTCATTTTTAGAGAGTGGTTTCCAAAATCTACGTTCTATCCCGTTTTTTCCCGCCTCTGTCCTGTTTTTGTCCCGTTTCTGTCGCTTGGTATCAGCCTCATATGTACAATCATCTAAAAAATACTGCGGATAGGTACCTCAATCTGGAACCCAATGCACATGGGTACGATCATCCAAAAACTACTGCGTATTGGTACGGTTAATTTACTGCGCTTCTAAGTAATAAAATCTTAAAATACTGTGCATGTGCAAAATAACTTGCGATTAAATATTATTATTAGTTCGATAGAATACGCACCATTTATAGCCGTTATCCTAATATTGTTTTGTTTAAGGTCGTAATCACAATCCATACATATGGAAATGTGGTTTGATGAGTATAATTACATAAACCTTAATATTTTTCTAGACTTCCAAGAAAGTACCAACAATTATAATCAAAATGACTAAAAAGAAAATGAAAACATAATTAATAATTTTAGATTGAATGGTACCACAACGAAGTAAAGGTGGACGAAGGAGAGAGATATAAAATAGTAAACGAGGGTGTATTTCACTGCGTGGATGTTTCTTTAGTAACCGCCCATGATAATGGAAGATGGACCTGCACCGCAAGAAATGTTGCTGGCCAGTCAACTACTTCTTGCCATCTCAACGTACTCAGTAAGTTATAGTACAAAATGTATCTAAGGCTAAAGAACAGAATACCCATGCTAAATTGTGCGGCAAATTTATCTGAAGGTTGTTTATAAAAGTATGGCAAAACCACCTCTTTTGTATAAAACCGAATGAAATAAGATCAAAGCGTATACAATATATCGATGGTTATTTGACAACCTAAATTTATCAGTAGAGATTTTTTTTGTGTGGGAGCTTTATTTTTAAAATTATTTATATGAAAACTGGTGAGGCATTATTTTAATTTTAATGTAAAATTCAAATGTATTTAAGTAAGATCGAATCAAATCTAAAATTTTCATTAAATCTTGTGGCATACGATATTTTATAAGAACATCTTTAGGAAAATGTAAAATTAGTCTTGTCGCTTAAGTTAATTTGTGGGATATAGATTTGAAGATTACTTTTGTCAAAACATCGTTAGCGACATTTATTTTTTTATTTTTATTATTAAATTAAAAAAAAATTACAAAAAAATTAATTTATAAAATATCACCAACGATATTTTGCCAAACAATCAGGCCAATTCACCAACATAAGTCGTTAACGTTAGCCACTAGAATTATTGGTTATCGTTATATTTAATCGACCTGATTGGCCGGTTTGGCAGATTCTAGTGGCTAAAGTTAACAACTTCTGTTAGTGAATTGGCCTAAATGTTTAAAAATGAACTTCTACATTAGCTTTCGTTGAAATAAACTAACGATTTTTATTTACAAACCAGTATTTAACCCATGAAGCCTACACAAGGAGCCCGAACTTAATAGGGAAAATTGACAAAACCTGCCCTTTAAATTGTAAAAAATAAGTTTTTTTTTCACCACCAGCGGCGCTGATTGTCTATGCTAGCGTTTCGGTACAAATTAAACAATTGTTTCAGAATAAACGGAACACCAGCGTCCTCTTATCTTAGGAAGATTCTTGTTTGCATGATGTTCGGACTCCTTGTGTAGGCTCCATGATGTAACCCTTGGTACTATGATCTAACCGTTATAAATTTAAGTCAAATTATTTGACGCTAGAACAACATACAATTACTACAAAAAACACTTTTAACGAACCACACTACGTAAAAACAATTATAATTAGGATAACTATTAATAATGCAATGAAAAAAAGGAATTTGAAGCTTTTGATCAAATAAAATATTGTTTTAAAACTTGGTAGCAATCACCACGATGCAGGTATACTCACGAATAAACTGTTTAGAGCGGGAATAACGGCTTGATAGATCAAGGCGGGAGCACAATATTATCGTAAGCGACACAATGTTAAATCGCAAACGCCATGTATCGGAGTTGCTTGCGATTATTTCTCGGGAACATATAGGCGCTTACGTTTTAAATCGGTAATAAATTAAAAAGAAGAGGCGCTTACAATAAATATTCAAACTGACCAATATTAGATTCCAAAATTGGGATAACTATTATGTAACATGTGCAGCTTATCGTAACTGACACTTTGATAAAATAAAAGGTAATTCCACAAAATTGTCGCTTACGATGTCAAATAACCATCGATATGCAAAAAATCATTGCAATCGAATTAACCCTGTTATCCTATTACATTATATTTTCTAAGTTAAACGTTTTAAATACACTATAAAATTTAATGTACATCGTACACGGTGCTGTTCTGAGAGGTGATTTTTGGACTTTCTGTGAAACTTATTTTTTTTTATATTCTTGTTAATTAGGTCATAACTAAAATTTTAAGAGCAAAATAAAAAAACAGTCAAGGTTTGAATTGTTTTAATTGGCTGTTTATTAAAAATATTATGCACTCTTTCAATTATCCAATTAAAACTAGCGATTTAATTTAAATATTTAATATTTGCATAACTAAAAAAAGGTTTTTACAATTTTTTTTATATATTTTACTGTTTTGTTGCAATAAACGTTCAAACTTTTAATCTAACCTTTGACGTATAGGTACATTTATGTTCCCTTAATTAATATATCCTTAAAGGTTGCCATGAAACTTAGATCTATTAAAAATTTATTTGACGTTTGAATTGTCATTCTCAGTATACGTATTCTATAATTTTTGTTTAGTTTTTTAAAGTGTTTTTTATAAACAAAAATGAAAAATTGTAGTAAAAGTTACGAAGAAATTCATGAAATTTAACTAAGGACCGGTTTATTCATCTTTAGTAAAGTTTATCGGGCCGATAACTTTCATGTCTTGGCAATATCTAGTATCCAAAGAAATTATTCGTTAAATAAATTAAAAATGAATAAATCGGCCCTAAATAAAATGTGGCACCCTTAGAATTATTGTTTAATAAATGTATACTAAACATTTAACCTTTAATTAAAACTTTAAACGTATATTACAACAAAACAGTAAAAGATATAAAAAATGTATAGACCTTTTTTTTAGGAAATTAACTAATCTTTTAATTGGAGAATTGAAAGTGTGCATACATATTTTTAATAAACATCCAATTAAAACAAAATTAACCGTCAAATTTTTTTTATTTTGCTCTTAAAATTTTAGTTATGACCTAATTAACAAGAATATAAAAAAAATTAGGTTTCACAAAAAGTCCAAAAATCGCCTCTCAGAACAGCACCGTGCGTACATAATCCACCATTTGGGAATAAGTCAAAAATCACTGCTTAGCTAGTTTTTCCCAAAGGGTGCATTGCTTGCATTTTAAACAAGCTAAAGAGTTACTATCTTTTAAGGGTTTTATATTTATAAACCAAATAAAGTAGACTATAAATTATTTAGCTGGAATGATTTCGAACATGATATTCTATTAAATAATAATAATAAATAACATACATTTTATGTTTTTTATTTTGTAATTACATAGTTTGGAATCTTCTCAGAAGTATTTTAGTAATAAATTAAGTTAAAACTAAAATTTAGTGTTAGTTTAAACATTAAAATGACAGTGATTTTCTAAATTTAAAATTATTGTTTGTTAGTTCCGAAGTCCTACAGAGCGCCCGAGTTCCTAGATGAGCTGCGTGCTCTTCTTACTGAACAAGGGACCGTTTCGTTGGAGTGCAAGGTGGTTGGTGTTCCCACGCCTCTGCTGCGCTGGTTCAAGGACGAAATTGAAATAAGGGCTGGAGATGTCTTTGCCCTTACCGCTAACCCCGATGATCCCACATCTCTGGGAATCTACACATGCGAAGCCATAAACTGCATTGGAACTGCAGTTTCCCGTTCCAGAGTTACGGTCGTTGGTAAGGGAAGTAGAGAAGGATCACTTAAACCAGCTGACAGGTAAATTTCATTTAGAATATATTTTTGACATTTTGAGAGTAAGACTTGTAATTCTATTTTTGGGTATTTTTTGAAGCTCTATTTTTTTTTCAACAAAAAAGCATTTTCTCCATGAGAATTTGTACAGAGCATCTATAAGAAGTTAAATTAAAAAATTACAATATTGCCAACGGTTTCAAATAAAACGCGGTAACGTTCGTCACTCCAGATCTATTAAAAAATATTGTTTTTAAAAAAAACAAAAATTAAGAAATTTTATTTGTATTTTAGCTCTGTTCCAACCGGACCTCCTCCAACATTTGTTCGAGATTTAATAAACGAAGACATTAAAATTGGAGATCCTCTATTATTAGGCTGCCAAGGTAGATCTATCGATATATTCCACTTAAAAATGAACCAACCACCATTTCGTTTTACCTAATTTTAGTGTTGGTGCCCCCGTGGCCCAAATCAGTTTGTTGGTATAACTCTGAGGGCCGCATCGAAAACGAAGTACCTGGTAGTAGGTACCGACAGATGGCAGACGGAATTGGAGGGTACATGTTAGAAGTCAAACCTACTGAAGCAGCAGACCAGGGCGAATGGAAGTGCGTTGCTACTAGTGAAGATGGTCCTGTTTCAATCTCCACATGCGAAGTCAAAATGACAAGTAAGTTTATTATTATTGCGAGAGTCGTTTGGAAAATTCTCGACCTAAAACAAAGATGTCGGTAGTATGACCAACGTTTTTTATATAAAGGGTTTTCAGAAAATGGCGCACTAACGGTAAGGCGGACGCGCGTGGGGGTTAGTATAATAAAATACAAAAAAAAATTCCAACAAGTTTTAGAGTTATCAAGCATTAAAGTTTAAAAACCAGGCAATGTTGTGTGTTTTGGAAAGCAATTAATTAAAAATATGAGGGCGTCAAACCAGCGGAGGAAACAACTGATGGGTTTTGTCGCAGTGGGTTTGGTGCAGCAGCGGTGGCTGGAAACCGGCCGCAGCTGAAATCTGATGCATGGATACCGGCGTTGCCGTCGGATGATTTACGTGATGTTGTTGCTTACTGCGTTGCTGTTGTTATAGTTTTAAGAGCGTGGAAAATGTACGCCCTCTGCGGGCAGCGTCGTTGTGTCCTTTAGAATTGCAGTACAGGGTTCATATGTCGACGGTGCATTTGGAGAAGTGATGGAATTTATTCCAGCGATAGTATCCTTGGCATTGCGTCCGTTGTTGCTGTTGTTCGAAATGTTGTTGATATTGTTTATAAGGTGGTCGGGCAGCTGCACTGATTATAGGCGAAAATAACTTTAGCGCTACCTTTATCTTGTCGAAAGTTGTCTCTTGTAGTGTTTTGACCTTGCCCTAGAAAAGGTCTGCCACGAAGTCAAAGAAACGTGTCTCCGAATGTTCAGCACCCGACGTTTGATATAGACAAACAAGTGCAATAATTTTCATGAACGATTTGCGGGCGCGTATTTTTATGTTGTCTGTGAGTCTTTTAGTCTGTCGACTACTTTTTCGACCCCGTTATGTAAACTTGAAATTGCCCCCGGGATCCACCTCTCGACCAAATATTTCGGGTGCGACTTAAGCCCAAGTCCATTTTTTTCATGACGGTAATGCGATCATTGTTGAAAACGGTCCGGATCTCTCAAAAACTGTTCGAGTAATGATTTTTTCCCATTGTTTTTAGAAATTTTTCTTAAATGGTTTTTATCCAAAATGGGATTTCCCAATCATACAAATAAAAACAGGAAACGGCAAAAAATCCGTTTAATTTTGTTCGATTAAAATCCCCAAAACGAGTATTAATGCGACGTTCCCAAATTTGTGCAAATTTAATTGCGGTGTTGAATAAAAATCATTTATCAGGTGGATATTTAAATTAAAGTAAATTTAATTTTTTACGCAAATCATATACTGGGGGACCCAACAAAATATCCAGCAACAATTTGACAGATGTCAAGTGGATGACAAACTGACAGGTAACAGATGACAGGTGACAGATTACTAGTGACAGATGAATGGTAACTGATAATCTTTTAAATACTTTTTGAATATTTCATTACTACCCAGTTTAGGTAAATCAAACGCGTTTCAAATTGCCACGTTGCCAGGTTTTCTAGCCAGTTTAGGTTAAACAACGATATTTGTAATTAAAGTCAATTTAATTTTATTTCGCAAATCATTTAGCAAACAAAAATATCCAGAAACATATTGTCAAATGTCAAGTGGACAGATAACAGGTTACATATGACAAGGAACACATGACAGGTATCAAGTTAACAGATGATCAGTGACAGATGACAGGTGTTAAGTTGACAAACGGCAAATGTAAAAATCATATTTTTAATAATTTAACTCCTACCCAGTTTAGGTGGAGCGGTCGCAGCGTAATAACCACCCGCAGTGTTAGTTTGTTATAGCTTGCGCCAGCCCGTTTACGCAAATCAGTCTGTTTTCCGTTTAATGTGTTTTCTAAAATCATCGTCGCCAATGTTAAAAATATATATTTTTAAATATTCCTAACTTTTAATAAATTTTAACTTTTCTATCTTTTTATATAAATAATTAGTTTCAAAACATTAAAATAAAAAAAACTAAAATTTAATTTTTAATCGATTATACTTAAAAACTATTAGTGGGAATAATTTTTTGTAATATTTTTTCTACATATACCCTCCTACAGCGTGTTATACCAATTTGCGACATTTTCGGGACACCCTGTATATATAATACAAAATTACTCAATTAAAGATTCATTTCAACGTTCCTTCATGTCAAGAAAGTACCTACTTGTCTACAGCCCAAACTTTAAATTTATCCATTTTCAGGATTGATAAAAATCGTTTTCTTACCTTGATTACAACTATTCAACCTTTAAATACACATTTATAAATTAGAAATATAAAAGGGCTTTGTCTAACTAACAACATTTTTGTTTTAATTTTTTGCACGGCCTTCGTAAAAACATATTGAAACCAATTTTTTAGTCCCAAGACATTTCCGAAAACCAAGATTTATGGACACTTTAAAAGCAGTATTAACAGACGAAGGATTAGTTTCTTTTGAATGTAAAGTCGTTGGTTCACCAACGCCTTTACTAAGATGGTTTAAGGATGGACAAGAACTTAAACCAGGAGATGTTTACCAATTAACTGGCACCAATTCGTTGGGATCTTACTGCTGCATTGCAAGAAATTGTATGGGCGAGGCCAGAAGTTCGGCTGAATTAACTGTAGAAGATATTCAAAGTCAACTGAATGACGAGGAAAGGGTTCAATTATTGTCAAAAAGTCAGGCTCCGAAATTTGTTTTAGGATTAAAAAGTATGGAAACTAAAATTAATGAGTCATTTAGGTTTACAGTTCAAGTAAGCGTCACAACACCTTTACCAAGTTTAGCATGGTATAAAGATGATCAAGCAACTGATAATGAACCTGATAAATATTTTATTAATAGAGAACATTTAGGTGTTTGCCACTTGGACATAAGACAAGTAGAATTTAATGATCAGGCAGAGTGGAAATGTGTCGCTACAAACGAATTTGGACATTCAGTTACGTCCTGCTTTCTTAAATTAATTATTCCAAAGCATTTTAAGAAACCTAAGTTTTTGGAGTGCTTACGAGCAGTTCTTTCTGAGGAAGGTGCTGTTAATTTAGAATGCAAAGTAATTGGTGTGCCACAACCAATTTTAAAATGGTATAAAGATGGAGTTGAATTAAAACCAGGCGATATTCATAAAATTACATCTGGCGAGGTAAAGTTTATTGTTACTTAATAATATTTGTTTGTTAAATCAATTTAATAAAAATAATGTTAATTAAACTTACATATGTTTTATGAACATAGGATGGCACATGTTGTTTGGGAACTTATACTTGTGAGGCGAGAAATTGTATGGGAACCGTTGCAAGCTCAGCTTCTCTGCTTGGTTTTGAAGAGCAACGAACGAGGGCACAACAGCAACGAATGGAGTTAGCTCGGCAACCATCTTTATCAACAATACACGAAGAAAGGACATCCCAAATGTACGATACAGCAGGAGACCATTCTATGGCGATAGAAGGAGAAGTATCATTTTCATTTGAAGGCAAAGAGGTTTCTGTATCGTTGTATGATACTCCAGATCTAACGGAGGAAGAAGCAATTCAAATAGTTGAAATGTATGCCGATCAATTATCAGAAAATGTATCAGGTAAGTCAAAATTTTGTTACGTTAATATTTTAATCAAATATTACATATTTTAGCTCACAATGTAGTTGAGCTTCCTCCGCTAAGATTTGTTAAAGAAACTTCGACTTCGGGCAATTTATTGATGGAAGCTGTGTTGGTCGACGTAACCGAAGAGTTTTATACTCCTGCTGAGGATGATTTACGCACAGAAGCAGATGTTGATGAGCTTTATTCTTTAGCTGATGAAAGTGGACAACCATTATCCTCTGTGACATCAGAAAAAATTAAAATAGATTTGAATTCCAATAGTGATAAGCCCAAAAGACCACCCAGAAAGTCAGATTCTCAGCATACCAATTCATATTATACTTTATCAAAAAACCCATCCCTGCAGTCTGAAGAAGCTGAGGAAAGCTTAGCTGCAGCAGCGGATTTGGAAAGTGAATCGTTTGGTGATTTTGAAAGTGCTATTAGTTCAGAAAAAATAATCGATGATAGGGCTTTTCAAGTAGCAGCAATAACAGAAACAAGCAGTTTACCTGGGGACGATTTGGATTCTAGGCGTCCACTGACTCCTCGTACCACTCATGAAATAGGTTCTGATCTAAGAGTAAACCGAAGTGAAAGTCAAGAGCTACAAAATGTAAAAACGCTGCGCTCTGACGAAAGTACCAGCAAAGGTTGGCCTGAAAAGGCCCATAGCTTAGATTTACAAGATAATGCATTCCAAAGAGATTTACAGGGCGAAGAAGGTGACGGTCTTGTTATTGATCCAGAAATAACTGCTGCTAAACAAGTGGAGCTCCAAGATAATGAAAATCACATTATAAAAGATTTAAAAATAAATTTAAATAAAATAATTCGTGGTTTAAACTCTGTAAATACTCATATACAAATAGAAACTTCTGCCAAGTCATCGACTGCATCAGCCACAAAAAGTATTGAAGTGCTGAATAGTATTTTACAACCCATTAAGGATATGCAAATCGTATTTGAAACTTTACATGAAAAACAAGCCACTCCTGAAATTTCAACGGTAGAATTTATAGCTCCTCCAATTTTTGATTTACAAAAAAGTTTATCTGTAATTGAAAAATGTCTTGAAATGAAGGGAAAGGAGCATACTATGGTTCAAAAAACTTGTGCAATCATATTGGAAAATACCTACCCGAATTTACACAATAGTTTAAATTTGGTTGAAAAAATTACTTTATTGGAAAAAGAATTGGAAAGCACTAAAGGTACAGGAAGAATGACACCCTCAAAAATTATTCAAGAAGTTTGTATAACAATAAAAGAAATGAGAGATGAATTAAACAAAACCAATAGTTTACTCGAGACAAAATCTAGACAAAAAACGAGTTCATCCATATCAGAAAGTGAAATTTCGGATAATTGTGATATTCTTTCATATTTACTGTATCAGGCAAACAATATTTGTGAGGGTATATCAAAATTGGAGGATATTTTGTTGAACAAAGAAAACCTTCAAAATCCAAGTCATTTAATATTGGAACAAATATCGGAGCCCATCAAAGCTCTGGTTAAAGAAGTTAAAGTAACTGAAAAGCAAGCTTTGAGATATGCGGGTGAAAGGAGCTTTAAACAGGAATTAAGATTGGCCATATTGGAGAGTCTGGGAGTCCCTACTAATGAACTTTCAAAAGGACTTAAGGTCATTGAAATCCAAGACCCAAATGATGTTCACACTAATACAATTAATATTCAAATTTTAAACTCTTTTAAAATTTCAGTAGGGGAAGTAATAAATTCGATAGAAAAAATTAAACAAAATATTCCTCCAGACACCGAAAAGTCATACAAATTATCTGAAGAAGTTGTTAAGGAAGTGTTAAACGAAGTTCATAAAATCGTACTTAATGATGTAACACAATCTACTGAAGAGTTATTATTTAACATTGAATCCTCTCAAACAACTGTTCAGGATACCACCATTTTAGAAGCATTGCGGCAGTTGTCTTCTTTACAAAAAGATTTAATTACCACGATTAGTCAGGTTGGAGAAACTAAAACCGATTCTGTGGTTAAAGCTATAGAAAATTTAAATCAACCTATCCAAATGTTAAATTCCTTGGTAATGTCGATGCCACCAAACATCGAAAGAGATGTATTAGATGAAATTATTGCCACTCTAATAATGTTGGAAGAAAGTATTGTTATTAATGAAGACTTGACTAGTTCATTGGATATTTGTCAGTTATTTTCAGCGCTTAAAGAAAGAACTTTCAAGATAAAAGAAAATATTTGTGGATTAACTGAATATGGTACAGTATTGGAACCTTTAACAGAAGACAGAAGCACAGTTGTTATATTAGAAGATTCTTCCATTACCACAGTACCATCCAGTCTTGTCCAGGATACTCATCATTGCATTAGTTTGGTGGAAGAACAATTATCGTCTACTGTAGCACAAGAAATTCTAAAACCTCTAGTGCCTATTTTAAATGATCTTTATGAAATTACAAATGATAATTTACTCACTAAGGATAAAACTGATTTATCGGTTAGTGACAGGTTTAATCTACAGGTTCATGTAGCCCCACTGGAAATAATCGAAGATAAAATTATTGAAGCTATTGACGAAATTATGTCCAAAGAGCATTTTGAAGGAAAATCTGCATTAAAAGAGTTACTAGAACATTTGCAATATAATGTAGCAGTGATGCATCAACAAATTATTGATGAAGCGCAATTTATTTACGATGTATCTCAAACACCAGGTCTTGTCTTAAAAGATTTAAAACAATCTATTCAATCTTTCCAAAAACTATCTATCATGACAGAGGCAACACCCGTTACATCTGAAGACATGAGTAATGCTGTTTTAAAAAATGTTTGTGAATTGGAAAAATCACTAGCTACTTTATACGAAACAACAATAGTTGATGGTACCGCTTATATTCCTGTAGAATTACTACAACAAGCATCAGAAGTAGTAGAATGCTTGGAATCTTTAAAGAAAACATCAATGTTTGATAAAAATAATCCAACTCCTTTATCGGATGCACATATAGAAGAATTACAAAAACTGTCAAAACCATTGGAACAGCTTAGTAAAACAATAACAATGTCACAAATAACTGAAGAAAAAAGGCATATATTATTTGATTCAGTTAAAATACCTTTGATTGAAATTGCAGAATTTATTGATGAACTTGGAAATATGGATTTAAGAGATGCTGTTTGGTGTCTTCAAGAGCCTTTAAGAAATGCCATTGAAATAACTTCCTTAGAACAAACCAACTATGATATCAAACCTGACGATTATGAAGATTTAGGACCAATCGCCATAACCTTATCAGAATTGGCTGTTAACATATCTTCTCAAATGAATTTAAGAGACTTTTCAACCATTGTCGGCATTTTAAAACCTATTCTTAATAGTTTAGAAATTCAATTAAGTGAAAGCGATAAACCAAATTTGAGGCATATTATATATTCCATTAAAGAAATTGCAGAAGCAATAAAAGAAATATTAAGCATGTCCAGTTCAATGGAAGATACTATTGTAGAATTGGAAGAAGAAATTTCGAAAGATGAAATAAATACAGAACCAACCATAAAAATAACTCAAAAAACTATTGATGTATCCTCAGAAGTTTCTAAAGAAGACAAAAAATTAGAAAAAGAACAGACCATAATGGAAGAAAATATTAATTTAGAAGAATCGCCATTATTAAAGTTAAAGAAAAATATTACTTTAATAAATAATAATTTCGATTCCAAACAACCCTTGATAATTGAATTACAAGAGCAATTGCAATGTATTGATCATCAAACAATTAAATTGAGTTTAACAGAATTGGAGAATTTAATTCCTTTAATTAATAAACTTAATGTTGCTACAGAAAAAATTATTATAAACCAAAAAGAACATACTGAAGATATTGAACAACTTACCAAAATATTAGAAGATTTTGAAACTTCAATTCCAACTGCACAATTGCCCAAACATATAGAAGAACATTTAATTTTAATTGGTAATCAGTTTGAAAAACTTGTTAAACCAAAAATTGATATATTTGAAAGGAGTTTTAATAAGTTTATGGATACATGTAAAAGTAATAAAGTAAAATCTCATAAAAAAGTTTTACTATCTGAATTACAACATACTCTTCCTTTAGTAAGGATGGATATAGCAGAAATAGGATTTATGGAGTTGGGTAATGATGAGGAAGCTCTAATTGATAAAGCTTCTGAATCGATAATTTCCTTGAATGAATATCTTCTTTCTGATGAATATAATTTAGAAAATGTTAATTCTAAAATTAAAAATATGGTTTCCGATTGTAGCGTTATAACAGAAAAGAGTATTTTAAAAAATATTAAACGATTATTTAATATTACGTTAATCGGCTTAAATAAAATTAAAAAAAGCGAGGATGAGGATAAAAATGTAAAGTTTCAAAATATTGAAGCGGTTTCTCAATCAATTCAAGGTCTAGCAAAAGGGTTAGCTGGCATTAAGTATGAAAAAGTTAATAAAGACTCAATAATTAAACTACAGAAATCTTTAAATCCTTTACAAATAGCAATTAATGATTTAATAGAATATCCACTTACAGATGGAGACATGAAATATTTAGAAAACATTGGTAAAATATTTAATGACCTGGATACATTTGTAACCTCTAAATTGGTTATTCAAGATCAAGTGCCAGTTATCCATAAAGAAGAAATATTTTTCTTTTTAAATATATTAAATAGAGCTACCAAAGCTATTGATAAAAAATCACCTATAAAACAAATTGCGAGTATGCTTAATACTATAATAGAAATTTTGCCAGATGTAGCACAACAACTGGAGGCTAGTTTCGGTGAAAAAGTTAAAACAGATATGATTGCTGACGTTTTACAAGACCCACTTAATAACCTTGATGATTCCCTACAAATAGCTATTAATGATGAAGGTAATATTATAAAGGAAAAGGTAAACGAATCTTTACAAAATCTAAAAGAAAACTTGGAAGTATATCTTACAAAATGTAGAGAAGTATTAACTGAAAAGGATATAATTTTAATATCTAAAACCGACGAATACATAGCTAATTTGGTGAAATTGGTAGATGAAAATAATTATTATGAGATTAATAAAAGTAATGATATTTTTGAAGATATTATAAAGCACCATGAACTTCCTATCTCAACGGTAGCCCAAAATATTTTAGATTTTGGAAAACGGTTAATATCTGCTCAACTAGAAGAAACTAAAGAAAACAAACGCCAACTATTAACAGAAACATCATCTAATAAACCAGTATTAGAGAAAGAAGGTGAACTTAAAAAAGGAGAAATAATTTTAGATGACATAATAATATCTTCATTACACCATTTACAAAAAGCTATTTCCACCGTCGATAAAAACACACTTAACGAAGATAAGAAAGCAGCTATTACAGAATTGGATAAATCAGTAAATGCTGTTGAAAACACTATTAAAACAGTTCTGAGCAAATTTACAGATATTAATAGTTTGTCAGTTGAGGAAAAATATGTTTTAAAAGTCGCAGATAATACGTTAAACAAATTAAGTGAATATATAACTGGTTCGCAGAAATTAAATGAATCATCGGAAGAATCGGTAAAAAAAGTAAAAGTCTTAATCGAAAACTTAAGGCTGGCAATTATATCTGTTCCAAAAGAATCAGAGTTAAAAGAAGTAATGGAGCCATTTGAAGAAACTGTCAAAAATGCAATTAATCTCATTGAAAACATTCCTGTTCCTTCACAGGCCAAGGATAATTTTGTTAGTACTCTTAAATTAACGGATGAAAATATTTTAAAATTAAAGCAAAGTAAGCTGACAAAAGAACAGATTCTAAACGCCAACAAATTGGAAAAGGCAAATAAAGAAATATGTCATCAAATAAAGGAGATAAAGCCCCAGTCTGAGTTTGATCATTACAGTATTGTTGATGCAAATAACTGTTTACAGGAAATTAATAAACTAATTGAAGCATTTTTACAAAGAAAGTCAAACACATACGATTTTGAAGAACTGACAAAAAAACTTGCCATTTTTATGACCAATAAATCACCCATGTTATTCGAAATAAATGAGCAGATGCAAAATTCTGGTGAAGAAATAAAGCTTCTTTTATTGGCTGATAAATCAATAAGTTCTACTGTTTCCTCTACTCTAACACATTTTCAACATACTCTGCATAATTTACAGAATTTAGTAAGCATAATTGAAAATAACTCAAATAATAAAACATTAAAAACCTTATCTGTGGAATTACAAAGACCATTTACTACACTTCAGTTTATAAATAGTAGTATATTAGAGGATAAAGTTGAAAAATTCGAAACACATGATATTCAAATCGTCGAGTCAACATTAAATTTTTTAACCCATTTACAACAAGCTATGAAGAATTTAGAACCGACTATAAAAATTGAGTCTCTTAATGACTTACAGATTAATATTAAAGAGTTAAAAACTGTAATCGCAAGTATTAATCTTGAATCAATAGCAAAAGACTTAAACGAGCCTTTGCAAGATATTTTAAGAAGCATGGATAAAGCACATGAAAGATTAAATAATTTTTATTTAGAAGAAAGAGGTGTGAAAAATTCAGCAAAAAATAAACTTATTAATTCCTTGCAAAAATTGCAAGAAAACGTAACGCAATATTCTAAAAATAAACTTTCAGATGTACACACTCTTATTTTTAATGATCTGCAAAATCCACTGCAGGCAATAATAAATACTGTAATTGAAAAACAACCTGATGATATACTTTCTGAAAATGTAGGTATTTTGTCAAATTTAAGCGATTCTATTGAAAATATTTCCAATAATTTATGCAACGATTTAAGTCAGCACATTCAAACTGTAAAGACAAACGTAAATTTACTTATCTTGAATCAGCAAGGACTTCAGGAATTCATTAATAATGATGACTTAAAAAAATTAGACCAAGGCATTGATATTGTATATTTATTAAATGATATACCGGAAATAATGAATTCCAACAAACCACATGAAAAATTAAACAACTCTGTAATTAAACTGCTAAATTTTACTGTAAAAACCAAACATTTACACAGGGGAAATATAAATTTATTTTCCAAGCTTATCGAACCACTTGAAAAACTACAAGATCACATAAATAAATGTGCAGATTTTAGCGTAAATAATGAAGAATTGCCCATAATTATGTCAATAATAAATTCATTTGAACAAATATCTAATAAAAAAAATCTGGAAGATTTAAATCAAACAACATTTAATGATTACGATGAGTCATTATGTGATTTGCAAAATAAATTAATTAGCATTTGCATGAAAGCTGTTTTGTTAGATAATACAGAAAGGGAAAAATCTTTACTCCAACAGTTGTTGGACCCACTGGAAAATATTACCAAATCTATAATAAGCATGCATAATGAATTGTCTAAACGAGTTAAACTTAAAAAAATTTGCAACCAAATTTTAAAAGAAAACGAAAGTTTAATACAAAATTTAAATTTAGTTGTAGAAAGAAGTCATGATTTAGGCTTCCTAACATCCTTAAATCATAGTTTTGAAGACCTAAATATATTATTAGGCTCAGAAAAAGAACAAGATGCAGGTTTATGTAAATTAATTCAAAGTCATTTAAGTCGTTTATTACAAACTATTAATGACGTCAAAATTAATTTGGAACAAAATTCAAAAACACGCAGATTTATCGAATCGTTTAGTAATTTACAAAAAACCTTTGATGGGTGCTTATTTAATTCAGATCTACAAATAGATGATATGACACATTTATTTGCATCGATAGAATTCTTTAACAATGAACTTAAAAATGAATTAAAAATAGAATTGGATAATAAAAAAGTATTAAACTTAAAACAGCCTATGGAGGTACTTAAATCAGAAATGTTAAAATTACAGGAAATTATAGTTGAAGAGAAACCTAAAGCGTCTCAAGCAATTGTTTCTTTACTGGATTTAAGAGAAGACCTTATTTGCCTTGAACAATCAATAAATGAATTTGAATCAGAATCTGTCGAGCTCATGCAAGATTTAAATATTCAAAAAGAAATAGCAAATCTTAAAGAATCATTGGAAAAATTATCAAATATTTTTGTTACTACACAAAATTGCCTTTACATGCCAAATATTGTAAATGTAGATAAATCCAAAATAAAAGCAGTTACTGCCTTATTAAAAGAAACAGCCACATATATTGAAACAAATACAGAAATTGAATTTATTCAGATATTGATAAACCCAATTAAACAATTAAATGCTAAACTAGACAAATTATTTAATGATGATGAAAATGAATATAAAATAATTGATAGCATTAAATCAAATATACTTTTGTTTAAAAATGATTTAAATACTATATTATCTAACACACAAAATATAATTTTATTAAATTCTAACGAAGAATTTGTGCAATCATTATTATTTTTAAATGATTCACTTGATAATTTAAAATCGCTCTTACAAAATAAATTATTAGACAATTTAAATGAGAACGAAATTAATATTTTAAGTGAGTATAATCAAATAATAGCGAATATTCATAATGACTTTTTGCAAGTTAACAAAACTAACATTTTAAATTCTCTAAAGGAAATTTTTAACTTAAATAATTTAATCATAGGTAGCAATACTTTAATAGTACATGAATACCTCTCAGAATCATTAAAGGTACTAAATTATAACATATTTAAAATAATTGAGGAATTATCTGAAACCGGCAAATTACCAGAAGTAAAAGAATTACACCGTTTAGAGAACTTAATACAAAATATTAAAAAATTAAAATTAGAATCACAAAATCTTAAATCAGCAATTTCTGATAAACCACAACAAGGTATTATTATGATTATAGGTCTAAAGGAAGCTTTAGAAATGTTGGAAGAAACAATTAAACTAACCTCAAATGAAGATATTGATAAATTGCCTAATACTGCCGTACAAAAAGTTCAAGCTTTAATTGAACCTATTGAAAAATTAAGTAAACAAATCATTCATATAAAAGAATCACCAGATGTTCAATATTTATATTCTTCCGAAGTTATAAATGCTTTACAGGCTGTTAAATGTGGAATTGAAGAAATTGAATCTATTTCAAAGGTTTCTCAAACTATGCAAACATTATCCACATCCATGGAACCCCTAAAAGCTATAATATTAACAATTCAAAAGGAACTTGATAAGTCATTAATGGAAGAGCCTAAAAGAAAGGACTTATTTGTTATAGAAGAAATATATAAGCCAATTCATAGCTTAACATTGGAAACAGAAGCCTTAAAATCAATACTTAAAGACAATATTCAAGAAGGTATTCTATCAATCGTCGAAATACAGAAACCGTTAAAATTAATAGAAAATACAATATTGCAAACTTCTAATGAAGATTTTAAAAAACTATCAAGTGAAGCAATTAAAAATGTAATAGCCCTAGTTGAACCTATTAAAAAAGTATGCAAAATCGTTGTTAATGTAAGAGAAGCAACGTTAAAACCAGAAATCCATTGTGTAACAGCCGCAGAAATCAAAAAAGCGTTACAGGCTGTTAAACAGGTTATTGAACAAATAGCATCTGAAGATGTAGAAACTAAGTTTATGCAGGTATTTTCAAAATCTATGGAACCGTTAAAGGCTGAAATATTAAACTTGGAAAAGAAGTTAGAAAATAGTGAAGAAAAAGACAAACACGTTCTTAACCAATTAGTCGAACCCATGCAAATACTAAAATTGGAATCTCAATCCTTGGAAGCTACTATTGCTGGTTTGCCTCAACAGGGTATTTTATCAATTGTGAAAATAAATCAGCCATTAGAATTATTTGAGGCCACAATTAAGCAAGTCTTGGATGAAAACTTTGATGATATATTTGGAGAAGAAGTTAATAAAGTTTATGCGTTAATAGAGCCAATTCAAAAATTAAGCAACATCATTGTTAGCATAAAAGAGGCTACAATAAAACCAGAAATCCAACCTATTGAAGTTTCTGAAGTTAAAACGGCTTTAAAAGCTTTTAATTGTGCTATTAAAGAAGTTTTATCTGTAAAACAAGTGTCCAACAATATGCGGACGATATTAAGCTCCATGGAACCCTTAAAGGCCAAAATTATTGAAATTGAACATGAACTGGATGAACCAATATTAAAAAAGAAGAAAAAAATGGAAATAAAAACTTTAAAACAAGTATGTGAGCTAATTAAATCCCTAAATTTAGAATTAATTATAGCGGATAAGCCTCAAAAGGGTATTTTGACAATTGCCGAAATAAACGAACCTTTAGAATTAATTGAACACACAATAATGCAAAATCTAAATGAAAATATTGTAGAATTATCTCCTGATTCGTTGGAAAAGGTACAAGCTTTAACAGAGCCAGTTAAGAAATTATGTACCTTAGTGGTAGATATCAGGGAGGCAAGTTTGAAACCAGAAATCCAAAGTCCAACACATTTACAAATTAAAAATGCCGTACATGCTGTTAAAAAAGTTATTGAAGATTTGGAGTTAGTAAAAGAAGAAACAACATTTATGCAGGTATTATTAAATTCAATGGAACCGTTAAAAGCAACAATATCACACATTGAAAATGAGTTAGAAAAAGCACCTTCAGATAAGACTGAACTTAAAGAACAACACGTTCTTAAACAATTAGCCGAACCCATACAAATACTAAAATTGGAGTCTCAATCACTTGAAGCTACTATATCTGGTTTGCCTAAACAGGGTATTCTTTCACTTGTTAAAATAAATGAACCATTAGAGTTATTTGAGGCAACAATTAAGCAAATCATTAATGAAAATGTTGATGACATATCTGGAGAAGAAGTTAAAAAAGTTAATGCTTTAATAGAGCCAATTCAAAAGTTAAGCAAAATAATTATAAATATAAAAGAGGCTACAATGAAATCAGAACTTCAATCTATTGAAGCTTCTGAACTTAAAACAGGTGTACAAGCTTTTAACTGTGTAATTAAAGAAGTTTTACCTATAAAAGAATTGTCTAATACTATGAAAACAATATTAAATTCAATGGAGCCTTTAAAAGCTAAAATAAGTGAAATTGAAGATGAACTGGATGAACTCATATTGCAAAAGAAAGAAAGAATTGAAACCAAAACATTAAAAGAAATATGTGAGCCGATTAAGTCCCTTAAGTTGGAGTCACAAAACCTTAAATCAATTATAATAGATCAGCCTCAACAGGGTATTTTGTCAATTGCCGAAATAAATGAACCTTTGGAATTAATTGAAAACATAATAGTGCAACATCTGAGTGAAAATATTGAACAAATGTCTTCTGATACATTGCAAAAAATACAAGCCATAATAGAGCCAGTTCAAAAATTATGTACGGTGGTCGTGTGCATAAAAGAGGCATGTTTGAAACCAGGGGTTCAATGTCCAACACCTTCTAAAGTTAAAAATGCTGTACATGCAGTTAAAGAAGTTATTGAAAAAATTGCAGCAGTACAAGTAGAAACTAAGTTTATGCAGGCATTTTCAAAATCTATGGAACCGTTAAAGGCTGAAATATTAAAAATAGAAAAGAAGTTAAAAAATAGTGAAGAAAAAGACCAACACCTTCTTAACCAATTAGTCGAACCCATGCAAATACTAAAATTGGAATCTCAATCGTTGGAAGCTACTATTGCCGGTTTGCCTCAACAGGGTATTTTATCAATTGTGAAAATAAATCAGCCATTAGAATTATTTGAGGCCACAATTAAGCAAGTCTTGGATGAAAACTTTGATGATATATTTGGAGAAGAAGTTAATAAAGTTTATGCGTTAATAGAGCCAATTCAAAAATTAAGCAACATCATTGTTAGCATAAAAGAGGCTACAATAAAACCAGAAATCCAACCTATTGAAGTTTCTGAAGTTAAAACGGCTCTACAAGCTTTTAATTGTGCTATTAAAGAAGTTTTATCTGTAAAACAAGTGTCCAACAATATGCGGACGATATTAAGCTCCATGGAACCCTTAAAGGCCAAAATAATTGAAATTGAACATGAACTGGATGAACCAATATTAAAAAAGAAGAAAAAAATGGAAATAAAAACTTTAAAACAAGTATGTGAGCTAATTAAATCCCTAAAATTAGAGTCACAAAACCTTAAATTAATTATAGCGGATAAGCCTCAAAAGGGTATTTTGACAATTGCCGAAATAAACGAACCTTTGGAATTAATTGAACACACAATAATGCAAAATCTAAATGAAAATATTGTAGAATTATCTCCTGATTCGTTGGAAAAGGTACAAGCTTTAACAGAGCCAGTTAAGAAATTATGTACCTTAGTGGTAGATATCAGGGAGGCAAGTTTGAAACCAGAAATCCAAAGTCCAACACATTTACAAATTAAAAATGCCGTACATGCTGTTAAAAAAGTTATTGAAGATTTGGAGTTAGGAAAAGAAGAAACAACATTTATGCAGGTATTATTAAATTCAATGGAACCGTTAAAAGCAAAAATATCACACATTGAAAATGAGTTAGAAAAAGCACCTTCAGATAAGACTGAACTTAAAGAACAACACGTTCTTAAACAATTAGCCGAACCCATACAAATACTAAAATTGGAGTCTCAATCACTTGAAGCTATTATATCTGGTTTGCCTAAACAGGGTATTCTTTCACTTGTTAAAATAAATGAACCATTAGAGTTATTTGAGGCAACAATTAAGCAAATCATTGATGAAAATGTTGATGACATATCTGGGGAAGAAGTTCAAAAAGTTAATGCTTTAATAGAGCCAATTCAAAAGTTAAGCAAAATAATTATAAATATAAAAGAGGCTACAATGAAATCAGAACTTCAATCTATTGAAGCTTCTGAACTTAAAACAGGTGTACAAGCTTTTAACTGTGTAATTAAAGAAGTTTTACCTATAAAAGAATTGTCTAATACTATGCAAACAATATTAAATTCAATGGAGCCTTTAAAAGCTAAAATAAGTGAAATTGAAGATGAACTGGATGAACTCATATTGCAAAAGAAAGAAAGAATTGAAACCAAAACGTTAAAAGAAATATGTGAGCCGATTAAGTCCCTTAAGTTGGAGTCACAAAACCTTAGATCAATTATAATAGATCAGCCTCAACAGGATATTTTGTCAATTTCCGAAATAAATGAACCCTTAGAATTAATTGAAAACATAATAGTGGAAAATCTGAGTGAAAATATTGAACAAATGTCTTCTGATACATTGCAAAAAATACAAGCCATAATAGAGCCAGTTCAAAAATTATGTACGGTGGTCGTGTGCATAAAAGAGGCATGTTTGAAACCAGGGGTTCAATGTCCAACACCTTCTAAAGTTAAAAATGCTGTACATGCAGTTAAAGAAGTTATTGAAGAAATTGCAGCAGTACAAGTAGAAACTAAGTTTATGCAGGCATTTTCAAAATCTATGGAACCGTTAAGGGCTGAAATATTAAAAATAGAAAAGAAGTTAGAAAATAGTGAAGAAAAAGACCAACACGTTCTTAACCAATTAGTCGAACCCTTGCAAATACTAAAATTGGAATCTCAATCCTTGGAAGCTACTATTGCCGGTTTGCCTCAACAGGGTATTTTATCAATTGTGAAAATAAATCAGCCATTAGAATTATTTGAGGCCACAATTAAGCAAGTCTTGGATGAAAACTTTGATGATATATTTGGAGAAGAAGTTAATAAAGTTTATGCGTTAATAGAGCCAATTCAAAAATTAAGCAACATCATTGTTAGCATAAAAGAGGCTACAATAAATCCAGAAATCCAACCTATTGAAGTTTCTGAAGTTAAAACGGCTCTACAAGCTTTTAATTGTGCTATTAAAGAAGTTTTATCTGTAAAACAAGTGTCCAACAATATGCGGACGATATTAAGCTCCATGGAACCCTTAAAGGCCAAAATAATTGAAATTGAACATGAACTGGATGAACCAATATTAAAAAAGAAGAAAAAAATGGAAATAAAAACTTTAAAACAAGTATGTGAGCTAATTAAATCCCTAAAATTAGAGTCACAAAACCTTAAATTAATTATAGCGGATAAGCCTCAAAAGGGTATTTTGACAATTGCCGAAATAAACGAACCTTTGGAATTAATTGAACACACAATAATGCAAAATCTAAATGAAAATATTGTAGAATTATCTCCTGATTCGTTGGAAAAGGTACAAGCTTTAACAGAGCCAGTTAAGAAATTATGTACCTTAGTGGTAGATATCAGGGAGGCAAGTTTGAAACCAGAAATCCAAAGTCCAACACATTTACAAATTAAAAATGCCGTACATGCTGTTAAAAAAGTTATTGAAGATTTGGAGTTAGTAAAAGAAGAAGCAACATTTATGCAGGTATTATTAAATTCAATGGAACCGTTAAAAGCAAAAATATCACACATTGAAAATGAGTTAAAAAAAGCACCTTCAGATAAGACTGAACTTAAAGAACAACACGTTCTTAAACAATTAGCCGAACCCATACAAATACTAAAATTGGAGTCTCAATCACTTGAAGCTACTATATCTGGTTTGCCTAAACAGGGTATTCTTTCACTTGTTAAAATAAATGAACCATTAGAGTTATTTGAGGCAACAATTAAGCAAATCATTAATGAAAATGTTGATGACATATCTGGAGAAGAAGTTAAAAAAGTTAATGCTTTAATAGAGCCAATTCAAAAGTTAAGCAAAATAATTATAAATATAAAAGAGGCTACAATGAAATCAGAACTTCAATCTATTGAAGCTTCTGAACTTAAAACAGCTTTTAACTGTGTAATTAAAGAAGTTTTACCTATAAAAGAATTGTCTAATACTATGCAAACAATATTAAATTCAATGGAGCCTTTAAAAGCTAAAATAAGTGAAATTGAAGATGAACTGGATGAACTCATATTGCAAAAGAAAGAAAGAATTGAAACCAAAACATTAAAAGAAATATGTGAGCCGATTAAGTCCCTTAAGTTGGAGTCACAAAACCTTAAATCAATTATAATAGATCAGCCTCAACAGGGTATTTTGTCAATTGCCGAAATAAATGAACCTTTGGAATTAATTGAAAACATAATAGTGCAACATCTGAGTGAAAATATTGAACAAATGTCTTCTGATACATTGCAAAAAATACAAGCCATAATAGAGCCAGTTCAAAAATTATGTACGGTGGTCGTGTGCATAAAAGAGGCATGTTTGAAACCAGGGGTTCAATGTCCAACACCTTCTAAAGTTAAAAATGCTGTACATGCAGTTAAAGAAGTTATTGAAACAATTGCAGCAGTACAAGTAGATACTAAGTTTATGCAGGCATTTTCAAAATCTATGGAACCGTTAAAGGCTGAAATATTAAAAATAGAAAAGAAGTTAGAAAATAGTGTAGAAAAAGACCAACACCTTCTAAAACAATTAGCCGAATCCATACAAATACTAAAATTGGAATCTCAATCCCTAGAAGCTACTTTAACTGATTTGCCTAAACAGGGTATTTTATCAATTGTTAAAATAAATGAACCATTAGAATTATTTGAGGCAATAATTAATCAAATCATTGATGAAAATGTCGATAACATATGTGGAGAAGAAGTAAATAACATTAATTCTTTAATACAGCCATTCCAAAAGTTAAGCAAGATTATTGTGATTATAAAAGAGACCACAATAAAACCAGATGTTCAGCCCATAAAAGTTTCTAGAGTTAAATCGGCTGTACAAGCTGTCAAGTGTGTTATTGAAGAAATGTTAGTTGAAAAAGAAGTATCTAATACTTTGCGTACGATTTTAAGCTCAATAGAGCCTTTAAAAGACCAAATTAGTAAAATTGAACAAGAATTAGATAAAACATTATTGGAAAATAAAGAACAAATTTCAACCAAAACTTTGCAACAATTATGCGAGCCAATTAGGTCCCTAAAGTTGGCGTCACAAAATCTTAAATCCATTATAACGAATAAGCCTCAACAGGGTTTTTTGTCCATTGCCGAAATAAACGAACCTTTGGAATTAATTGAAAACACAATAACGCAAAATTTTAATGAAAATACTGAAGAAATATTTTCTGATACATTCCAAAAAGTACAAGCCCTAATGGAACCAGTTCAGAAACTATGTACATTAGTCGTGTGCATTAAAGAAGCAACTTTTAAACCAGAAGTCAGTTGTGTGTCACCGTCTGAAGTTAAAAATGCTTTGCAAGCAGTTGAAGAAGTAATTGGACAAATTGAATTAGTAAAAGAAGAAACTAAGTTTATTCATGCATTGACGACTTCAATGAAGCCACTTAAAGCTAAATTAACAGAAATACAAGAAAAAATTAAAGATATACCCTTGGAGTCGACACATGTTCTTAAGCAATTAGTTCAAACAATTAAAAGTTTAAAGCTAGAGTCTCAAATTTTTCAATCAGTCACTTTGGATCTACAACAAAACGATATTTTTTCTATTTGTAAAATTAAAGAACCTTTGGAATTTATTGAAGAAACAATTATGCAAAACATTAATGAAAATACTGAGGAACTATCGGGCGAAGCCATTAAAAAAGTTCAAGCTTTAATAGAACCAATACAAAAATTAAATGCAGTTATTATCAATATTAAAGAGGCAACAATAAAACAAAATATACAATCCATAGAACACTCAGAAATTAAAAAAGCTCTACAGGCCGTTCAATGCGTCATCGAAAAAGTCCAATCTGAAAAAGAATTATCTAAAATGATGCTCACATTATCTAATTCAATGGAACCCTTGAAAGCTAAACTCTCTGAAATTCAATTTGATTTAGAAAAGAAGGAAACTAAAAAAGCAAATCCCTTAAAACAATTATGTGAGCCAATCCAATCTCTTATTTTGGAATCTCAAAGCATTAAATTAATATTATCGAAAAAACCACAACGGGCTGTTTTATTAATTTCTGAATTAGAACAACCCTTGGAGTTAATAGAAAAATCTATTCAAAATACAAAAGATGGTAAAGAAAAATTATCCAAAGAAGAAACTGAAAAAGTTTATGAGTTAATAGAACCACTTCAAAAATTATCAAAAGTTATTGTTACTATTAAAGAATCAGTTTTAAAACTAAAAGTTCAACCTGTGGAGACTGTTATAATTAAAAATGCTATACAAGCAGTAAAGTGTACAATTGATGGAGTAAAATCTATTGTACCATCTTGTATGGCTATACAAGATTTATCAAATTCAATGGAACCCCTTAAAGCAAAATTATTAGAAATACAGGAAGAAATTGAAGTTAAAGCATTAAAAAAGACAGAAGATCAAAGTATGCAGGCTGTGAGAATGTTATTGGAGCCCATACAAATTCTTAAGTTAGAATTTGAATCTCTTAAATCAGTCGTGCTTAATAATCCTCAACGAGGAATTTTATCTATTGATAAAATAAATGAACCTGTGGAAATATTAGAAAAAACTATAAAAATCATAAATGAAAATGTCGATGAATTTACCGAAGAAGAAAATATAAAAATTAAAACTTTAATAGAACCGATTAAAAAGATGAGTGTAATTATAGTAAATATAAAAGAATTGGAATCAAACTCAGAAAAAAGCATTAGCATTCCTGATATTAAAAAGGCCTTACAAGCAGTTAAGTGTTCTATAGGAGATTTGGAATGTATTTCACAGCCATCTAATGCATTAATAACCTTATTAAGTGCCTTAAAGCCATTGGAAACTCAAACTTCAGAAATTCAAAAATTGATTGATAAATCTCAAAGAAACGATTTGAAGGCTTTTAAAAAATTAATGGAACCAGTTCAATATTTACAACAAAAATCCAGTGCTTTAATATCTATATTACCTAATAAACCACCACAAGTCATCCTATCAATTGCTGAATTAAATGAACCATTAGAATTAATAAGATCACAATTATTGGAAATTATTGATAAAAACTTTACTGAATTAGCTTCTGAAGAAGTTCAGAATATTAAAACATTAACAGACCCCATTGAAAAATTAAGTAAAATGTTTATTAATATAAAAGATATTGCTTTGAATCCAATAGTTTATTCAGTTGAACTTGGTGATATCAAAACTGCTCTTCAGGCAATTAAAGGCGCCATTGAGAAAATTTCATTAAAAAAACAATCAAAACCTATACAAATATTATTAAGATCGATGCAACCCCTCAAAACTAAAATATCTGAAATAGAAAATGCCTTAGATACAAATGAAAAAATGCTTGAAAATAAAGTTAAGAATTTAGAAAAACTAAAAAGTATCGCAGACCATGTAAAATATTTTAAGGAATACATTATTAAACATAATCAGTTCGAAGAAAATGAAATTCTTGATAAAATTGTTAAATGTCTTACCAGTTTCTCAAATAGTTTAACAGACTTAAATTGTGATGCTTTTAAAATCAATGAAAACGATATATTACTTTTATCTGATATAGTAAAACAATTGGATATTTGTAAAGACATACTTAAAGCCATTGAAAGCAACAAAAATAAAGTAATTGTATTAAATACAAAAATTAACGAAATGGCTTCCTCTTTACCATTAATTATAACTGCATTAAGTAATGTCGATAAAATATCAGAAATGTTAAGTTTAAATAAAGAATCACTTGGACAACTAAATAAAAACTTACACGATCTTAAAACTAACTTAGATTCTCGCAGTAAGTTATTTGCAGATGATATTTGTAAAATAAAGTTATGTTTATGTAAACTTCAGGATGATTCAAAGTTATTACAATTACAGTCAAATAACTTAAATATTGCAAAATCGTTTAAAAAGTTATTTAAAGTAAATGAAATAGCTTTTGAATTTATTGAAATATTAAATGAAGACGCTTCTAAAAATGATATAAAAATATTACTTACATTAAGTAATCCATTAAATGCATTAATTAGTACATTCTCCGAATTAAAAAATAATTTAGAGAATGAAAATATACTTAAAAAGACCCAAACAAATACTTTATTACATTTACAAGAAATATCTGACATGATCGAACAAACAGACTTAAATAAATATGTAATAGATTTAAGAAAACTTTTAGAATTTATAAAAGAAATGTCTGACCTTATAAAATCAGAAAATATATCAAGCAAAAGCGATGTTTTAAAATATATTATATTACCATTTTCTCAATTAAAAGATGAGGTGCAGTTGTTTTCAAATAAATCCACTCAATTACCTATTGAATCGCGTTGTCTTTCAGATATGGAACCAAATATTAGTAAAATAATTTCATCTCTGTCTCAATTCGAATTACATTTTAATAAAAATGAAGTGGCTTGTAAAGAATTTGTTGTTAACTTAGAAAGCTTGCTTATGCCCATTGAGGATCTTTTAGTCGAATTTGTAAAAATTAACTCTATACTGGATAGTCAAACCTTCTTTGATCATAAATCACTAATTGTTAATTTAAATAATTTAAAGCAGACGATCGACGCAGTACTGCTTAACACTACAAATGCAAGTTTAGTTAAACCAACACGTGTTTTACTGGAAGAATTTTCAGGAAATTTATTCAATATTATTAATTTATTAAATACGAGCTTAAGCAAAGCAATAACTAATAAATATGATAAAGATATACCAATTCTTAACGAAATTGTCGCAGAAATAGAATTAATTGAAATTGATGCCCAAATTCTTAACATGCAGGATAAAACACCTACAAAAGTTTTATCCAATTTAAAAAATCCAATAGAAAATGTTGTATCATCATTTAAAGGTAAAGAATATTCAATTGATTTGAAATATATATTAAAAGACCTCAAAAAAACAACAAATGAAGTTATTAATAGTTTAAGAACAATAAAATCTGTTATGTCCAGCGATGAACTGCTGTTGTCAGAAATACCTATTTTACATAATAATCTACAGTTATTTAAGAAATATTTAAATGAACTTGTTCATACCAACATTGATAAAGACATAGGGAATTCAATACATCTATTAAATATTGAAATAGATCTAATACTAGACACATTAGTAAAAAATAGAAAAGATTCTACATCGCTATTAAGTTTAATATTAAATCTTAAGCAATTAATTTTAATTATTAAAAATGTAGAAATTTCCATCAGCACAGATAATTTACTTTTAAATTTACACATTTTAAAAGATTCTACAGTTCAATTACAAGAAAATCTTAATTTGGCAAATGAAATGGGCGAAAACATAAATGATTTTTCCAATGAATTCTTTAGCATAATTATGTCCCTTTCAAATAGGGTATCTTATATAAATAAGGCAATAAACCATATAGCATCTGAAGGAATTGATGACCTTATATTTAGTTTAAAAAATATTTGCACTGAATTATACGAAGTTAGTAATTTTGTATCATTAAATGAAAAAATGGAAATAGTTCAACAGTCTTTAAGTTTATACTTAAAAAATATTAAGAAAATCATTGAACAACTTAATAAAAACCAAACCGAAACATTTAAACTTGCTGAGGAAGAACCACAAATAAAAATTGAACAAAAAGCAGATAAAGAAATAAAACAAGAAACAGCATTAAACCCCAAAGTTAATGAGAAGGAAGACTTAAACGCCAAAAAAGAAGTAGACCAAAAATCCAAAGAAAACGACCTGAAAACTAAAGAAGATGCTGAAAAGAAGTCGGAGGAACTAAAAGCAAAAGCCAAAGAAGAAGCTGAAAAAAAAACAAAAGAAGATGCAGTACTAAAAGCTAAAGAGGAAGCAGAAAGAAAAGCCAAGGAAGAAACAGATTTTTATTCTAAAGATGAAGCTGAAAATAAAATTAAAGTAGAAGCAGACCCGAAAGCTAAAGAAGAAACAGACCATATATCTAACGATGAAGCAGACAAAAAAGCCAAAGAAGAAACTGAAAAGAGATCGAAAGAAGACGTAGACATAAAAGCATTAGAGGAAGCTGAAAGAAAAGCCAGAGAAGAATCAGACTTTAAAACTAAAGAGGAAGAAGAAGGAAAAGTCAAAGAAAAAGCAGACCTAAAAGAAGCCAAGGATGAAAATAAATTAAAAGAAGACAAAAATTTAAAAACCCAAGCGGAAGCAATAAGAAAAGCAAAAGAAGATTCAGAACACAAAGCTAAAGAAGAATCAGAAAGAAAAGTAAAAGAAGAAGCAGAACTAAAAGCTAAGGAGGAAGCAAACACAAAAGACAAAGAGGAAGCAGAACAAAAAGCCAAAGAGGAAGCAGAACTAAACGCTAAGGAGTCATCCGAAAGAAATGCCAAAGAAGAAGCAGAAAAGAAAGCGAAAGAAGATGCAGAAAGAAAAGCCAAAGAAGAAACAGAGCAAAATGCTAAAGAGAAAGGCGGAGAAAAATCCCAAGAAGAAGCAGATCTAAAAGCCAAGAAGAAATCAGAAAAAAAAGACAAGGAAGAAGCTGAGAATAAAGCGAAAAAAGACGCAGACTTAAAAGAATCAGAAATAAAATTTAATGAAAAAGCAGAACTGAACGCTAAAGAGGAATCAGAGAGAAAACCCAAAGAGAAAGCAGGACTGAAAGATAAGGAAAAAGCAGAAATAAAAGCCAAAGAAGAAGCGGAAATGAAAGCTAAGGAAGAAAAAGAAACAATAGCCAAAGAGAAAGGAGAACTGAAAGCCAAAGACGAAGCAGAAAGAAAAGCCAAAGAGGAAACAGAAAAGAAAGATAAAGAGGAATCAGAAAGAAAAGTCAAAGAAAAAGCAAAACTAAAAGATAAGGAGGAAGCAGACAAAAAAGCCAAAGTGGAACCAGAACTAAAAGCTGAGAAGAAAGCAGAAAGAAAAGCCAAAGAAGAATCGGAAATAAAAGGGAAGAATGAAGCCGAAAGAAAACTTAAAGAAGAAACAGATAAGAAAGCGATAGAAGACGCAGAACAAAAAGCTAAAGAGGAAGGAGAAAGAAACGCCAAAGAGGAAGCAGACCAAAAATTCAAGAAGAAAGCAGAAAGTAAATCTAAGGAAGAAGCTGAGAAGAAAGCAAAAGAAGATGCTGAATTGAAAGCTAAGGAGGAAGTAGAAAGAAAAACCAAAGAAGAGGCAGAACTAAATGCTAAAGAGGAAGCCGGAAAAAAAGCCAAAGAAGAAGCAGATCTACAAGACAAGAAAGAAGATGAGAAAATAGTAAAAGAAGACGCAGAGTTACAAGATAAAGAGGAATCGAAAATCAAAGTCAAAGAAGAGTCAAAACTAAAAGCTAAAGAGGAAGAAGAAAAAATAGCCAAAGAGGAAGGAGAACTGAAAGCTAAGGAGGAAGTAGAAAGAAAAGCCAAGGAGGAAGCAGAACTAAAAGATAAAGAGGAATTAAAAAGAAAAGTCAATGAAAACGCAGAACTAAAAGCTAAGGAGGAAGCAGACAAAAAAGCCAAAGTGGAAGCAGAACTAAAAGCTAAGAAAGAAGCAGAAAGAAAAGCAAAAAAAGGAGCGAAAATAAAAGTTAGTGAGGAAACCGAAATAAAAGCCAAAGAAGAAGCTGAGAAGAAAGTGATAGAAGAAGAAAAACTGAATGCTAAAGAAGAAGCAGACATAAAAGATAATAAAAAAGAAGACACAGAGTTACAAGCTAAAGATGAATCAGAAAGAAAAGTCAAAGAAAAGTCAAAACTGAAAGCTAATGAGGAAGAAGAAAGAATAGCCAAAGAGGAAGGAGAACTGAAAGCTAAGGAGGAAGCAGAAAAAAAAGCCAAAAAAGAAGCGGAATTAAAAGTTAAAGAAGAAGCAGAGAAGAAAGCGACTGAAGACGCAGAACAAAAAGCTACAGAGGAAGGAGAAAGAAACGCCAAAAAAGAAGTAGACCTAAAATCCAAAAAGAAATCAGAAGAAGCTGAGAAAAAAGTGAAAGAAGATGCAGAGGTTAAGGCTAAAGAGGAAACAGAAAGAAAAGACAAAGAAGAAGCAGAACTAAAAGCTAAGGAGGAAGCAGAAAGAAAATCTAAAGAAGAAGCAGAACTGAGAGCTAAGGAGGACGCAAAAAGAAAAGCTAAAGAAGAAGCAGAACTGAGAGCTAAGAAGGAAGTAGAAAGAAAAGCCAAAGAGGAAACAGAACTAAAAGCAAAAGAGGAATCCGTAAAAAATGCTAAAGAGAAAGCAGAAAGAAAAGCTAAAGAAGAAGCTGAGAAGATTGCGAAAGAAGATGCAAAGGCTAAGGCTAAAGAGGAAACAGAAAGAAAAGACAAAGAGGAAGCAGAACTGAGAGCTAAGGAGGAAGCAGAAAGAAAAGCTAAAGAAGAAGCTGAGAAGATTGCGAAAGAAGATGCAAAGGCTAAGGCTAAAGAGGAAACAGAAAGAAAAGACAAAGAGGAAGCAGAACTGAGAGCTAAGGAGGAAGCAGAAAGAAAAGCTAAAGAGGAAGCAGAACTGAAAGCTAAGGAGGAAGAAGAAAGAAAAGCTAAAGAGGAAGCAGAACTGAAAGCTAAGAAGGAAGCAGAAAGAAAAGCCAAAGAGGAAGCAGAACTAAAAGCAAAAGAGGAATCCGTAAAAAATGCTAAAGAGAAAGCAGAAAGAAAAGCTAAAGAAGAAGCTGAGAAGATTGCGAAAGAAGATGCAAAGGCTAAGGCTAAAGAGGAAACAGAAAGAAAAGACAAAGAGGAAGCAGAACTGAGAGCTAAGGAGGAAGCAGAAAGAAAAGCTAAAGAAGAAGCTGAGAAGATTGCGAAAGAAGATGCAAAGGCTAAGGCTAAAGAGGAAACAGAAAGAAAAGACAAAGAGGAAGCAGAACTGAGAGCTAAGGAGGAAGCAGAAAGAAAAGCTAAAGAGGAAGCAGAACTAAAAGCTAAGAAGGAAGCAGACAGAAAAGCCAAAGAGGAAGCAGAACTAAAAGCAAAAGAGGAATCCGTAAAAAATGCTAAAGAGAAAGCAGAAAGAAAAGCTAAAGAAGAAGCTGAGAGGATTGCGAAAGAAGATGCAAAGGCTAAGGCTAAAGAGGAAACAGAAAGAAAAGACAAAGAGGAAGCAGAACTGAGAGCTAAGGAAGAAGCAGAAAGAAAAGCTAAAGAGGAAGCAGAACTGAAAGCTAAGAAGGAAGCAGAAAGAAAAGCCAAAGAGGAAGCAGAACTAAAAACTAAGGAGGAAGCAGAAAGAAAAGCCAAAGAAGAAGCAGACCTAAAAGCCAAGAAGAAGGCAGCAAGACAAGCTAAAGAAGAAGCTGAAAAGAAAGCGAAAGAAGACGAAAAGCTTAAGGCTAAACAGGAAACAGAGAGAAAAACCAAAGAAGAAGCCGAAAATAAAGAAGAGGCAGAATTAAAAGCAGAAGGTAAAACAGAAAGAAAAGCCAAAAAATATGCAGAACTTAAAAATGAAGTAGACCAAAAAGCTAAAGAGGAATCGGAAGACAAATCAAGGAAAGTTAAAAAAGATTTTGAAATGAACTCAAAAGAAGACATAGAACCAGAAGCCAAAGACAAAAAAGCCAAAGAAAAATTAGAACTTAAACCTAAAGAGGATGCTAAAAATAAAGAAAAAGTAGAAATAGAAATAAAAGTAAACACGGAAACAAAAATAAAAGACAAAAAAACAGCAGAGATTAATGAAGACGTTGAAAAAAAAGCAAACAAAAAATCTCAACAAGAAAGAGAATTAAATATTAAAAATGAAGAGGTTCAAAAGCAATCCAAAGAAGAAATATTAGAGAAACAACAAATAGACAAGGAGACTAAAAAAGAAGCTGAAAAGAAAGACAGGAATAAAGAAAAAATAAACGAAACACAAAATTCGGTACTTAATGGACATGGCGTGGACAATGCATCAATAAAAAAAAAGTTTGGTTCAGAAAGAGATGTACATCAGTTTATGGGCCGAGATTTTAGTAATTTGGGTTTTGAAGATTTTAAACCAACTTCATATCATGGTCCAAGATATATTGCTGGGAAGCCAGTATTTAGTATGTCCCTACAAAATCGCACAGCTACAATAAACTGCAGAATTAAATTGACTTGTAGTGTGATTGGAAATGATAATATTTTAATAAATTGGTTAAAAGATGGCAAACCTCTTGAAAATATGCCAAGATATGATGTAACGTTTAAAAATAATTTAGCTCTTTTAGAAATCTTAAACACCACTATTGCTGATTCTGGTGAATATACTTGTATAGCAAAAAATGAAGAGGGTTCCAATAGTACATCTGCAAACTTAGTTGTGACCGAATCTCTAGAACTTCCTCCATTATCTCCAACATTTACAAGACCAATACGAGAGCATTATAGATTATCCACTGATGAATTTTCTCTTGAATGTAAAATTCGTAGTAATCCTTTATCCACTATTAAATGGTTTAAAAATGGATCAGAAATTTTATCTAGTGATAGAATTTTAATGCAATATTTAGCTGATGGTATTTCAAAATTAATTATTAACTCACCAACTAAAGAAGATAATGGATTATATACCTGTAAAGCAAGTGTTAATACATGGTATGATCAAATTTCCCATGAAGTTAAATTTACTACAAAGGAAGATTTCTTAAAACAAAAATTGGAAAAAAAATATATTTCCAAATCTCGATCAGGCATCAGGAGACCCTACTTTTCTGGAGTTTTGACAGACAATATTGTTTCATCAGGTGGGGTAATGGCTTTGCAGGTTGAAGTTAAAGGTGGTCCGGCAGATGTGTGCTGGTTTAAAGACAGTCAAAAACTACCAAAAACATCTTACAAACATAGAACATTTGAGGAAAGTGGTGTTCATACTTTACTTGTGTCAAATATAAGTGACTATGAAGGTGGCAAATATACATGTCGAGTATCAAATGCATATGGCCGTGCCGAAACTTCTTCTTATGTACAAATAGCACATTCATCAGCTATGGAAAGGGGTAAACCTGCAATGTTTTTGTCAAGGCCAGATAAAATTTTAAATGTGGCCACTGGGGAGGATATTACTGTATCATTTAGACTTACTGGAGATCCAAAGCCAAAGGGTAAGTTCATAATTTAATTTCCAATATTTATAGACTACTTATTTTACATTTTAAAAATTTAATATTTTAGTTATATGGATGAAAGGTTTAAGGGATATTACAGAAAGCCTTCGTGCTATTAAGTTTACTTCAGATGATTACATTAGATTTACCCTAAAAAGAGCTACAGTGGATGATATTGGAACTTATTGTATTCTTGTCAAAAATATGTATGGCTGCGATAGAGCATTTTTTACTGTTCGTCTCAGACATAGGGCTAGATCACTAACTCCAACCAAGGAATCTGCAATGATTTTGGCAGATATTCCCACATACCAAGAAAGATATCAGTATACAGGTAAGATTCTAGGTAATCTGACTATTTCGAAGAATTTGAATCTCAATATGTAAAGGAATCCGTTAGATTGATTGAACATTTTTTTTTAAATAAAAATCCCAGAAGCATTGATTTATATTTGTCTACTTATAACATTTTTAAAAGGGACATGAATTCACAGATAAATGGCGTAGATAGAGCACTTTTCGCCCGAAGTAAAGAATAATTAATTATTTTAATTTCGTCAAATGTATGACTTTTCAAAATTTAGGATCAATTTAACGAAAATAGTAAAACTTTTTCTGTTAAATATAAATTTAATTGACGCTGGAATCACTCGAAAATGCATTTATAAAATTCACAAAGGAATATCAAAATGTTCAAGCATGAAAATAACGGTTATAATTTCTCTTAAATTCTTCATTATTAACTTTTCCGACTGAAGAATTTTACTGACATATTTAAATCTGCTTTATCAACATTAAAATATTGTAAGTAAAGTAAACAGGAAAAAACAGGTTTTTGAAGATTCACTGTGAATTGCCATTTATTGTTTGAAATTACTACAAAAAGATCTTTTAATCATTCCCGAGTTTCTATTAAAAAGACCACAATTTTGCTGAATAATCCCTACAAGCCTTTCTAGAATTAATAAGTTTACTATATATATATATATATATATATATATTAGGGTGCCCCAAAAAAAAAGAATATTTTTTTTCTTCTCGTCTCTTGTGAAAATATGTTGGTTTGTCATGTTTTAAGAGCCCTGTCAAAAGATCAGCATTTTGAAAATTTTTAAAAATCTTGAGCGACCCCTACAAAATTTTTAATCGAGCTGATATTTTGAAAGGGCTCTCACAGCATGATAAACTAACATATTTTTATAAGAGACAAGAAAAAAAAATATATTCTTTTTTTTTGGGACACCCTAATATATATATATATATATATATATATATATATAATATATTATATATATTAAAATCGATTAGGTGTTAGTCAGCATTAGCTGCAGCTGCAGTCGGCAATTAATAAAATTTTAGAAAATTTCGACTAACGAATTTACAAAAATATATATATACACATATAAATATTCAATACGATTGCTCCACAATTGTCTAGTAATTGGACAATTAAATTGTAAAATGGAATTTTGAAAATATTGGCCAATGGTAGGAATCAATGTTTGTTCGTAAGTAATATCATAAGGGCATCTAATTTTTCCGAAAAAAATCGAAAAAACACGTTGCTAAGTAATATTTTAACAAAACGCATGAGTGCTGGTGGCAACAAAAATACGAGTCGAAGACGAGGATTTTTGCACCTGCACGAATGCATTTTGTTAAAAAATATTACTTAGCATTGTGTTTTTTCGATTTTTTTCACAGGAAAAATTAGAAGCCCGAATGGTATTTGACAAGGCTATTTCATGAGTAACAGTTAACAATTAAAATATAAATTGAAATTTTTGGTGACAACAGCTGTCAGGTTTTGCCGCGGGTAAACTTGAAAAAACTGCTGACAGGTGCTGTCATACAGTTTTTTCACCTAGAAACCATTTTTAATTCAAAATTGCGCGTTTGTGATTGGTTGAAATTAAGACGAGGGAAATAGTCTAAGAAAAACACCCAAAGTTTGGGCAATAATCATACAATTAATGAATCTGTCAATATTGATATCATGATATTGTACCATAATGGTAACTTAAATTAAAATAATAATATGCATATATATATATATATATATATTCAGGGCCAAGTCAACCCAGGGTGCAAAGGGTGCACTGCGCCCGGGCAGCAACTATCAAGGCGCGGCATTTTAGAAAATATTTGAACAGAAAGTGACGGTAAACTTGTATTGTAATTGATTCTGATCCAAGTGTATGGTAGTAGAAAGGGTAAATAAGAAAACAACTTATCCCAAAGACGCTAGTACTAGAAGTTATTGAAATAAATATTTTTTTTAAAACTTTACCAAATGGTGAATCCGTTCAACGCACTTGGATATTCTAAAAAATATACTCTGTGTTTTGTTTCCCATGTAAGTTATTTGGGAATGCGTCTAGTTCTTTGGGGCTAGATGGATTTCGAGATTGGCAACATTTATCGCGAACCTTAAGCCGACATGAAAGTTATAATGATCATATTAAATGTTGCAACAAAATGATTCAATTACAAACTTCATTAAAGTGTGGTTCAACAATAGATTATTTACAGGAAAAACTAATTAACAGTGAACAGAAAAGATGGTTTTCTGTTTTAGAAAGAATTATATCGGTTGTTAAATTTTTAGCTAAGCAAAACGTAGCTTTTAGAGGTAGTTCTAGTAAATTATTTTGTAATGTTACACGTTACACGTCTAACTCGCAGCAGAGCAGCAACAGAAGCCCAGCAGATAAGACCTGAAGATGGTACATGAGATTGTACCGAAACGTCTTCAGACATACGGTTCTTTTAAGAACCAAAAACCGACAACACGGAGCAGATCCCGAAAAACCACTAATACATACATAATAATTTTATTAAGTTAAAATAGTGCTTTTAAGATTTTTTTCCTTTAAGGGGCGGCAAGCTTTTAATTGCACGCGGCGGCAAAAACACTTGGTGCGACCCTGTATATATTAGGGTGTTTAAAAAAAACAATTATTTTTTTCTTCTAATGGTGTTGAAAATTTAATAGTACATTTAAAAACAAAAATGTTAATATTAATATTAAGGTTTGCCTCAATTTCTTTGTGATTTTTCCATTTCAATAACCCGGAATTTTTATTTATTTTGAATTCTTATAACTTTGAAATGGTTTGTTTTTGCAACACTCAAGCGAGAGGATTTATAGGAAATTTTACGCTCTACAAAAAACATCTGAAGGTCAAAGTTCTTCAGATCAACCGTTTCTAAGATATCAGCGATCAAAAATAACACTAATTAAAAAATTTCAAATATTTTCCAATAAAAATACATATCATATGCCATATTTATATTATTTTTTATGTAAATTCTGTTAACCTGAGACTGTAAACTATTTTTTGCTAATTAATTCAATATATGTACATACATGTAACTCAATAAAAGCACAAATACATAAATATAAAGATTAAAAATATAATACTCGTATACATGATTTCCTTATTACACTAACTAACCAAACACTTTATTGTATTTTATTCAAAATAATAGAAAAATTATGTAAATATGTTAAATCAATTAAATTTAATCAACTATAAAATTTAATCACATTTTTTTTATTTGAAAAATATCGACAGAGCTTTATTTAGCATATTGTTTGTTTTGTTGATTTTATGTTACCTACGATAAAACTAAAACAAACAAACCAACCAATCCAACCCAAAACTTTTTAACAAAGGAACAACAAATTCATAAAATTAAAAAAGTTTCTAGTAGTATAGACCCTGTACCTCTCGCATGCCAAAGGACCGCCCTCAGAACGAAAGATAAAGAACAGCTTTAATATTTGTTGCAAGTAGTGAAAGAACATAGAAAACGATATCCTAATTGCAATAAAAGTAATTTTATGCGACTGTATTATTTTCAAGTTAAAAAAATTTCATAACTAGTTGTTAAATACTGTTTTTTGTTTTATAGAATTAATCATTCAATAAAATTTCTTAGTATTTAGTAGAAAATAAAATAAATTTGTTATAAAAGAGACCCAAAAATGATTTATTTCATATTTTTAATCTTTATATTTATGTATTTGTGCTTTTTGTGAGTTACGTATTAAATTAATTAGCAAAAAAAAAGTTTACAGTGTCAGGTTAACAGAATTAAAGTGATTTTACACAAAAAATAATATAAATATGGCATATGAGTCATATGATATGACATTTTTTTTGTAGTTTTATTGGAAAATATTTGAAATTTTTGATTGGTCTTATTTTTGATCGCTGATATCTTCAGATGATTTTTGTTGAGCGTGAAATTTCCTATAAATCCTGGCTTGGGTGTTGCGAAAACAAACCATTCCAAAGTTATAAGAATTCAAAATTAAAAAAAATCCCGTGTTATTGAAATGGAAAAACAACAAATGAATTGAGGCAAACCTTAAAATTTTTTTTTAACACCCTAATATATGTATATGTATATATAATAAAACTTGAAACATAATATACTATTTTAAATTTAATAATGCAATTTTTGAAATAATTACTTTATACTTAATATTAAATACCCAGGTTTAAATTAAACTGATGAATAATATATATAATAATAAATGTTAATTGTTCATATTGTGGGATTAGGCCAAAAGTATAATAATATGGATAAAATTTAAATTTTTATTTTACTTGTCAAGTTGGTTTGTAAGTATTACTGTTTATTTAGTTATATATGTAAATTAGCAGAAGATTTATGATTTATTTGCTTTAAAAATTACTAAATTAATTAAAAAAAGCCTTTACTGAAAAATAAAACTTTGCCAAGAAACTGGATTTCAGAAATTGTATTATATCGAAATTATTTAGTGAAATATCAGAGCAATTTCAAACCACAAATAAATTAATAAAATTAATTTTATATTTCTTTACATGGATTCAGACCTTCCCCCAGCAATTTTAAGTGAACCTGTCATAATAGATAGTGGTCGTAATTGGGCAACCCTTTCGTGGTCAAGACCAGAATACCATGGTACTTCGATAATAGCCTTTAGGGTTGAAGCTTGGCTTAAAGGAGGGGAAGGTGGTGCCAGATGGGTAGAACTGGGAATAACTCCCAGAACGACGTTCGATGCATTTAATTTAAAACCTGATGGTGAATACCAATTTAGAGTCACTCCTCGAAATAGATATGGCTGGGGAGAAAGTATTCAAAGTAGTAGTGTGATTATTGGAAAGCCTACTGAGATACCTGAATTTACAAAAATATTGCCTGGCCAACTTAAGGCGTTACTTGGATCAAAAGTATTAATGGAATGTGAAGTAAGTTTACTTAAATACTTATGTATTTACCACTTTTATATATGATTTTTTAGATAAAAGGAGACCCATCACCTGATATTAAATGGTTTAAAGATTCCAACGAACTATTTATGGAGGATAGCAGTCGGTACAATATATCAAAAGTAGAAGGAAGTTGCCTGTTATCAATCGATAATCTACAAGAAGTCGATAATGGAAGATACATATGTGAGGCTACCAATAAAGTTGGAAGGGTTTCTACTTTTGCAAGGTTATCTGTAATCTGTGATGCAAAAATATTAACTGCTGATAAACAGTTAAAATTGTAAGTAGATTATAATTATATTTTAACCGTTTAAAATTAATAATAATGATTTTTAGAGGTATTAAGGATTTTTCAAGTATAAATGAACTTCCACCACAGTTTACAATGAGATTAAGAGATAGAAGAGTGCAAATTGAATATCCAGTGCGATTAACTTGCCAAGTAGCTGGACCTTCAAGCACGATTACCAAATGGTTTAAAGATGGACAAGAGCTTCACAGTGATTGTATTTATAAAAATAGTTTCATAAATTTATAAATTTACAATCAAAATTTTACAGCTCGTCATTCCTTTTCAACAGAGGACCATTTCCACACCCTTGAAATAAGCAAAACACACTATGAAGACTCTGGAGTATATAGTATAATGGCTCATAATTTATTCGGTTCAGTTGCATGTAGGTGTAATTTAGTTGTTGATAAAGGAATAAAAGCATACATTTCGCCGGAGTTTGTTAATCATTTGGAGCCATCATACAACGAATTACATGAAGGCGAAGAATTAAGACTTTCTGGGAGAATTGAAGCCTATCCAGCTGTAGGTGTTATGTGGTATAGAGATGGCGTACGTCTTACATTTTATGCAGAACATTACAAATTAATAATTTTAAAAACCCTTTGTTTAGATTCGTTTGCGACCCTCAAGAAGATCAGCTATGACTTTAGCGCATAATGGGTGTTTGGAACTTGCTTTGGCAAATGTAACTGGAAGGGATGCAGGTGTTTATACTTGCGTAGCTTCAAATGATGTTGGAAGAACTGAAAGTTCTGCAAGAGTGGAAATATTTGAAGGAAAAAAGATCATTACGATCGAGTCAGAGAGAATTCAAGAACCTACTTCTGGTATACCTACAGTTTTAGAGCCTGGAAAAGTTATTCCGTAAGATTTTTGTTTCTCTAAAATAACCAATAGTACTGATAATAATTTTTAGATATTCCAAAGAACCAAAATTTTTAACAAAACCTTTATCATCTGAAGCTTATGAAGGAGATTATGTCGAAATAATTTGCGAAGTTATAGGTGACCCAAAGCCCGATGTAATGTGGTTAAGAGATTTCCTTAGGGTAAGATATTTTTAGTTATTCTAAAATGTTTTTAGTTTTAACTTCGAAAATAATCTTCAAATATCTACATTTACAATGACTCCAAAAATGCCGATTTAAAAAGCTTATTTTGGGATATTTCAAAAATAACTATTTTTTTTAATTCTGCATGTTTATGTTAATATTACATCTATCATAACATATAAAAACAAGAAAACATGCAGAATTAAAAAAAATAGTTATTTTTGAAATATCCCAAAATAAGCTTTTTTAAATATGCATGCCAAAATAACCTTGGAAAAAATATTCACCCCCAATTGAATGCCTATTATAATTGTTACCTCTTTGATAGAGTTTTAGTTTATATTTTTGTCAAATTACGAGGTTAGTACTAGTACCCCACGTAACCACCACTTTCACCAACCCTAAACATATATCCAAAAATACTTTGTTTTGGACAATTTCTATTTGAAAAACAAGTTTAAAAAAAGCTCTTATTAAAGGTAAAATAAATTTGCTATATTAACTATAGTTTAAGTACTCGAGTACCGCACAGCTCTGACTGTAAACACCCAAAAAAGAATACCTACTGGCATAGTACATTAAAATAAAGTCATTTTCTAAAACTGAGCATGTAAAGATAAACGTTTAATAAAAATAACATTGTTTATACAAATTATTGAAAACATGTCAACTTTATTACCCATTATTAATACATTACCTATGTGTTCAACTTAACATAGTCCTACATTTTACGAATAAATTCATTATGTATGAAATTAGATCTTCGACTGATATTGTGGGAGTGTACTATTTTATTTGTAAAGACGTCAACAAAATGAGTCACGTGAAACCTTATTGTGAAAACTGCATTTCAGACATATATGGAAATTCATGTCCGCAGATACCTACAATGATGAAATTTTTAGTTGCAGCATTATCTAATATACATTGGGTTGCCAATAAGAAAAACTTTTAATCTGCGTTAAAAAATTTGATTTCCGTGCAATTTTTTTTAATAAAAGGTACATGTTGCTTAGAAATTTAAAAAATATGAAAATACTTCAAGAAAGTACCCTGCGTTCAAAAAAACTCCTGATTAAAAAAAATCAGCTTACTAAATTATGACTTAATTTAAACTAAAATGTTTACTAAACAGTGTTTAGTATATATAAAATAAGGGCCAATGACAAAATCGCTTCAACCGTTTCAAAGATTATCCTGGAAACATTTGCTAATTTTCGAAACATCTGAAGCAATTTTGTCATTGGCAAGACTTTTCTGTAAGCAATATAGCCTACTTTTTATATTTAATGGCTAAAATTTGGTAGGTATAAAGGTGTCTTAGGTCTTTGAATGGGAATGGGACGGAAAAAGAAGGGAACGGGAAAAAACAACTGTTTTTATATATATTTCACATTTAATTTAATTAATTTATATAGGTAGGTATTTATTAATAAAATTATATTTTGAAATAAAAAAAAATATTTCGTATTTACTCATTAATTTAAATTATCAACGACTTTCTTTCATATTTTTTTTATAAAATAATATATAAGCATTTTTTATATTTTCTTAATTTCTGAGCAACCTGTCCATTTAATTTAAATGTTTTTTTATAAAAATCTTATTTATTAGGAGCTTTTATGATGAATGAATTTTGCTCGTGAAAAGCATAATAAAAAGTTTTTCCTAATGGCAACCCGATCCGGGGACACACTGTATAATGTATATTAATGTATAGTTCTTTACAATCTTTAAATTAGATTTTAGCAACCAAATCCACGTAAATTAAAAAAACAAAATGTCACTCTAAAATTTACTATTTTTATTCCATAATATACTATCTTTTATTCTTAATCTTTTTACTTTAAAGTTAAATAACCAAAACCGATTAAAAATAATAAATGCAAATGTTCAAAATTTCAAAAAAATATTTTTTTCCAAAGTTGAGATTAGATAATATAAGTAGTAATATTAATAAATAAAATTAAATAGCTATGGTAATATGCGTTTGTAATAAATTGTCTATAAAATTAGAATATTATTTAAAAAACTTAAATAAACAAAATCAAAATTTATGAAACCCGACTTTATACCTTTTTGTGTACTTTAAATAGGTAAATAAAATGTTTAAACTTAAAAGCGGTTAAGAGTTTTTTATTGTTAAAATAACATTACGTATATTTGAAACATATCCTTATAAGAAGTTGAATCGGTAATAAAAGGAATTTTATTACTTTAACTTTATTGTTAATAATTACCCATAATAGCAACCAAAAATTTTAACTTTGATACTGGTACTAAATCAAACAAATTTAAGAGCTTTTTTACTAAAATAGCCTTTAACATATTTAAACAAAAACGGTTAAATGGTCTAAATACCAAATGCAACTTTTTCAATAAGCACTTTTGCCGAATACATTTGTTACATGGACATCGATTTAAATGTTTTGTTTTAAAGCAATTAAAATATAATTTACTTACATGTGGAGAACATTTCATAAGCTTATTTTATATTTTTTATTTGAATATTTATAAGCTGATTTTTAGTTGTTAAATTAATTAATAATAACTAATTATTATAAGAAATAACCAATTTATTAGTAAAAATAAATACATAGAAAAATGTTATACAATGGATGAATTAAGTTATGCGTGCTTACCATCCTACTCAAATAAAGATTTATCGCTTAGTGCATGAAATTTAAACGTTCCTGACAAAATATAGGAAAACTGGTATTAAAACTGCAAGTATAAAAATCAGTGAGCATAATACTTTAAATTCTGAAGCAAGTATCGTATTGATACACTTTTTCACAAGGAATATTTATTTTTTTAATTGTAAATAAATTATTTTGATTTTTATCGAATTGGCTTTACAACCACATCACGTTCTCTCTTTTACTGATTTTATAAAGCATTCTTATGAACATACAGTAAAATAGTGTTATGAGAAGGCAACCATATATAGGACCGATAATACGTTCTAGCTCAATAAAACATACTTCAAATGGATCTAATTTCATATTAACCCATGTCAGTGAATATTTTATATTTAATTTATAACGACAACTAAATTTACATGTGATATTGAACCTTTGTAAAGTAATTTGTAACAATGCGTTTAAATGTTTTTTAATAAAATGGTTAATATGCAACCAACAAAAACATAAAGTATCAAATGGATCTAATTTCATGTTAACCCATGTCAGTGAACATTTTATATTTAATTTATAACGACAACTAAATTTACATGTGATATTGAACCTTTGTAAAGTAATTTGCAACAATGCGTTTAAATGTTTTTTAATAAAATGGTTAATATGCAGCCAACAAAAACATAAAGTATTTTATATATTTATTAGTAATAGTAAAGTAATACAGTTGTAAAAAAATTAAATGTTTAAAAAATATAAGTTCTCTTTTTTTAAATTAAGTGACAGTCAAGTCCAAATGTCTAAAGGTTTTTATCTAAAAGATTTGTATTATTAGAATAAAGATTCAATACCTAATATTAAATTTATTAGAAGATTAATTAATTACAAGTCTTTTTCCAGCGAATTTAAATCTCAAATTGTTATTATATTATTTTTCTAAATCGTGTGGCCCACTCAGCAGTTCTATATCAGTTCTAGATTAAAAAATAAAAAGGTATGAATTTTTTTTTTAAGAAATTCAATTTACCGAAAGTTTTTGACGTGCTGAATTCAGGCTCAGAATTTCTTCATCACATTAGGCTTTCATGAAATTTTAACCCAAAAGTGAAAAGCAATATTTATGGTTATATTACATCACAAGGTATTTTTTCTCTGCAAAACACGTTACGTGTAGTACAAGTACTGATCTTTCCCTTTAAAGTCCTTTTTGAATTTTTTAATACGTTTTCCACTTCTACTTAGAAATCTTTAGTTACAATTTATGAGTTTGGTTTAGGTAAAAATTTGATTGATTTCAATCATAACTAAGAATTTTACAAAGAGATGAAAATATGTTAAGAACAATTAAAAAAAGACTTTAAACAGGAATAGTGGTACTTTTTGATTCATAACAAGTTTTGTGTAAAAACAATAGTTCGTGATGTTAACGCGTTTTTTTTACTTTTGGTTTAGAATTTTTTAATAACCTCATATGAAGGAGCAATTTTTAGATTGGATTTGAATTTAGCGCATCTAAAACCTTCGGAAGAGTACCTATAACTTATCTCTGTTATAGAAATTTGGTAAAATCTTGATCTTATTTAATGTAATATTTAATCCCTAAAGGAGGCCTATTGGCTGCAGCCAGGGCCCCCGGCCAAAGTATAAAAAATCTTGACTTGTTTTGTTTCTTAATATTTTATTGTTTTCATATCATGTTTTTTTAGAAGCTCTCCGCAGCTGGGAACGTGCATATTTTTTTATAAAGGTTTTTCGTCGGGGCCCCGATCGGGGATACATTCATATTTTTTAATCAGTACATTTTCTGCCCTCAAAAAAACTGCCATTTACCATTTTTGATAAGAAAAAAATAGTTTTAAAAATGTGTGTACCCACTTGATATTTTTGAATATTTTGCATATTAATTAAGTAATAACTGATTATTTAAGATATTTAATGGAAAAAAGGGTGTTGAACATTTTTTACGGTCGAATGACAGTACCTACTACTGTGGTCGAATATCAAAAATTGTTAAATACACAATTAACTAAAACCGTTATTAGACATTTTTCATGCGAGCAATTGTTTACTACTGTAGCGTAAATTAGTGAATACTCGGTAAATAAAAATATTCATATACTACGAGTTATCAACATTATGTCAAATATTTTGAGGTGTGATATAGCGAATATTGTTTGTGATTGCATTGAATAGTGCGCAGCATGAGGACAATTTTAGTAAACCAAAAATTCAAAAAATTCAAAAAGCATTGAAATTTAAAAAACGTCTTAGTACTAGTACAATATTTGCTGCAATTTGTACTATATATTCGCAACTATTAATTTTGATTGGTCAAAAATTGACAAATAAAGCGCTCTGATT